TAGTAAAAGATAACTTGTTAGGGACTGACAAAAATGACAAACATAAGCCACAAGACCCCCACCACACCCCCATAACAGGGTTAGTAGCTATATATACAAGTAATCGAATCATTATTACACGCATGAGTTGTGATTTAGTCAAACTTCACCTTTGCTGCCGTACATAAGTGAGTCATACAGTGAATGAGAGAAGTGTCTTAGAAGATGGTGTTGGGAACTCCTATACTCTAATATCCTCTTTCATCTTTGGGACAGATGGTGAGAGAGAAACTGAAGAAAATGCTATGCGTTGTTGGTCAACATCTGTATGCAACTCCTCTTTCCCGCCAATTAATTGCTCTAGCTGTACAGTCCAGAAGTGCATTGCTATTCATATACATACAGCACGACTCAAAACGACATCTGCATAGACATGCGAATAGAACTTTATGAGTCCGCCAATTAACCAAGCATTACCAGTGATACAAGCCATTGCCATAATAGTCATTACACGTGTATGTGCGCTAGCTACATTACAAAAAGACACATACATCAACAGTGTCTCTAATAATATGTGGGTGTCATCGTACTCATGTAAAGAGTAGGCAAGTCTCTAGACTAGGCAGTGTCAGCTCCCTCCCCTCCCTCCCACCAGGCCAATACGACTCAATGGGCCTTCTGGCTGACCACATGGTGTAGTCCGGACACCTCTCAAACTGAAACTGTCCCGCCGAGGCCAGCAGCTCCTGACAGGGCTTGCTCACACGTATCTGGAGTGCCAGCCCTGTCAGGCAAAGGTTACGAGTGTGACTCAGAGAGAGTCCAAACAGTTTGTAGTGAGGTATTTGAGAACCGTCGCTCCCTCCTGAAGTCTGGAGACCGATGACCCCGGCAGAGCAGGGACCAGCGTGGAGAGCTATCCTCAGCTGAAGCTGTCGGTTCTCCTCCGAGTTGGGGATATCGATCTGCGTCGAGTTGCTCATAAGCTGGAGAGCCGCAGTGGCGAGTATGCTGGCAAAGTATTGCGGGGACCTCTGAGAGTCTAGGTATGCTGGGGATGTTTGACAATCTATGTTTGGTGGCTGGTGGACTGGTAGTGAAGGTGTAAAGTGGTGTCTCAATGTCTCAGTCTTGTCTTCGTTCAGGTCTGGTACCGAGCCATAGGAGCTGTCAGTCATGGACAGTTGTGACTCTGCTCCACTGCGAGGTCGCTCTGGGCCAGTCTCCACTAGACCGCAGGCTGCCACACATCCACTGGACGTGCGTTCCATGAGGAATATGTCCGGGGTGAGAGAAGGCTTGGTCGACGAGGGTGTGGAAGTGGTCGATGATTCTCACCACCTCGTGGGGCTGGAGTCGAGAGGCCAGGGACGAGAATCCAGCTATGTCACTGCAAGGGACATTCGAAGCTAAAATGTCTACACTGAATTCCCAAGATTATATATAGCTAGTTACGTAAGCTAGGACTCTTAGTTCAGAATAGCTCTACTCATGGTGCATGTATGTATCTTACCACTGGGCCAGTGTGACCATGGGAAATGTCTTTGTCAGAGGTGTATCACCACCACCAGGGCCGTTAGTGGACTCAGTAGACTGAGTCTGAATCATATTCAGCGGTAGTTCACCTGGATGTTGTGAAAGCAAGAAAATAACAAGGTGTATAAACATATATACGGGAAATCAGAATGTAGTGTGAGCAAAGGCCAAAGGGACATACTGAACATGAGAGCTGTGGCTTTGCTCCTCTCTCGTCTCCAGCCATCTGACTGGACCTGGAGGGACTCCCTGGTCTGTCGCAGCTCCTCAGCCAGCTGGTGTTTCTCTGAGAGGAGGCGGTGCAGCCTGGCCTCTGATCTGGCCCACTGCTCTCCCTCCTCTCTCTCTATCTCCTCCTGTGTATACACGTCAAGAACGCATGCATTGAGAGCTCGTGGAAAATAATAACAAACACTTTCATGTCAGCAGATAGAACCTAGAGCTTACACTGTATATCTGAATAACAGTGATCTACCTCTCTGTTTAGTGTCTTTTCGTGCAGTTGATTCATTTCTTCTTTAGCCGCTCTCCGCACGCTGCCTGCAGCACCCATCTCCCCGGCCAGCATCAGGCAACGTTGCTATGACGATAACCCCTACGAGCCCCGCCCATGTACACCGTGGGTGCGCAATATTTAGAGCGGTGCACGGGTGGTGAATCTCCTCGCTAGAATAGATATTGAAAGCAAGATCATAGTATGTTACTTGTCGGTAGCTTAAACAGGTCGTCGATCCTCCTGTTCCTGGGCAATCTCGGCAGCGAGGTCCTAGTATTCGTGTTCTCTGAGCTGGTGATTCGATTCATCATCCCCTCCCCCAACACTCGGGCCGCGCGACTCAAACTCCTGGTCATCCAGGGCTCTCTACTCTCCGTGGCCGTCCTTCTTCTACACATCTTCCATCGTCGACCACTCCTTCTAGCCCTGGTGGTTATCTTTATCTTCATTCGCATTATCTCGGTCTTCTCCCAGCCCGTTGAGACGAGCGGCTCTGGGAGACACGTCAGTAAACCACTTAGAAAAAACGTGACCGTAGAGCCTGCCGTGCCCCTCCAGTGGAGTCATTTGGGGCAGGATAGTTTTGGTGGTGATGTGGAGAAGCAGCAGAGAGCTGTATGGCCACAGACACATGGTCATTCTTCCTTGGTTCATAGACATGCAACCACCGGAGCAACGACAACTCAACCAGTTACCTATGGAAGAAGCATTGTACCTCACGTTCTACCAACAGCTAATACTGGATATCCAACGAAGCGAATACTTCCAAACCAAATGTCAAGAGGTTCATTTGGTCGTTTGAACTCACATTCTAGTGAACTGAATCGAAATTCACTACAGAGAACTTCAGTTGGAGATGCCGCCCCACATGTGTCTCAGTCTGGGTCCCAGCAGCAGGGCTATCTGGAGTATGTGTCATCATTCTGGGGCCGATCTAAACCGAGCCTCTTTCCTCCCGGGATTTACAACTCGGGGAATGTTTGCTTTGCAATCTCGACCCTAAAAGCCCTGACGTGGACTCCTGGGTTTGTCCAACACTTGAAGACAGTCTGTCAGCAGAAGAAAAAGACGGTATCGCCTCCGTCTGAAAAAATGCAACTGCTGGAATCTCTCTGCTCTGTGTTGAGCAGATGTCACGTGCTGCCCGACGGAACAACTAGTTTCAGCCCGATCAGCTCCTCGGCGTTTCTCAAGACAGTGTCAGAGATGGTGCCATATCTAGTGGCTCCACCTCACAGCGCTCACCGACAGACGCAGCAGGATGCCTCGGAGTTTCTGTTGTGGCTACTGGACAACTTGGAGGGCGATGGTAGCAGTACGCATTTAGGGAGTTCGAATGAAGAGCTGTCAACTGCGCAAAAGGCGAAAGAAGAGTGCTTATTGCACCTGGAAGGTGCTAATTCTGAGATTTTGACTACGTATCGGGAACCACTCACTCAATTGGCAAAGGCTGACTGGCTCTTAGAGAGCCAAAAAGCTTCGTTTTTGACTCGCGAGTTCTTCCTTGGGCAAATGGTTGAGGCGAGGGAGTGCCAGAACTGCAAGAAAGTTCTCCGTGAATGTCGAGTACTTTACTCTCCTCCCTCTCCCCATCCCTGAGACTCACATCCCAACTTACTCTCGTTGACTGCTTCAATAGTTTTGGTACAGTGGAGAAACTGACCGAGTCGAACATGATGGCGTGCTCGTGTGCACCAGGTGAAAAGACGAGAAGCACACAAATGGAGGAGGGAGACGTTAGCTGTGGACAAATGGAGGGTGATCAGCAGGTAAAAGGTGGGCAGGCGGGAGGTGAGGAGGTGAGTGACAAGGGGTTTCTCTCACCGAAGGAAAAAGGCTGGTGATGCTCAGTCGACCACCAAAGAGACTTGTGGTGCAACTGTCTAGGTTCTCGTACAATCCACTGCGAAAGTGTGCACAGAAAAACTCCACTCCCATTACTGTACCCCTGACTCTTGACCTGTCTCCATACCTCATGGAGACAAAACTGCAGTCGCAGAGAAGACTGCCAGTGGGACTAAGTCTTTGTACACACTCTACGCTGTCTGTATCCACACTGGGGCACAGAGTACGTCGTTCGGTCACTACTTGGCTTACTGCCGAGCCTCCAACGGGACCTGGTACTGCTTCAACGACAGCTATGTGTCGGTGGTGGAGAGGATAGAGCAGGAACTCCAGGACAGTCTGCTGCTGCAGAATGCATACTTGCTCCTGTACTCAGTGGCAGAAGATGTGGAATAGGGAATTTTCCGATGATTAAAACTGAAATATGTTTTTATATGGTGCAACCCCGGTTATTCCTTGGTTTTTTAGCAACGGCATGGCATCTGTCATGCACATTCAGATTTTGCAGAGCACTTTGATATCTTCTCCATGCAAAACACATGGTCATCATTCTGATGCATAATGGTCAATCTATATATAATTATACTATACGTAAAATGACAGGGGATATGATGGCACATATAGAGTGATCAGTGAACCATGTCCAAGGCCTTTTTACCCTCCTTATTCACAATGTCTGGGTCAGCCCCTGCCCGTTTAAGTTCATCATACACCCTCTTGTGGCCCTCGTCAGCAGCTAAATGAAGAGGGGTGTTCCCCTCTGTATCCTGTACATTTGGGCTAGCTTTGGCCGATAGGAGGAGCTTCATGACCTCCAAATGACCTCTTGAAACTGCTCTATGGAGAGGTGTGGCTCCGTACTTGTCCTGTTTGGCAACGGGACAACCGCTTTGGATGAGTGTCGGAATGATGGACAACCGGTTTTTCGATGCAGCGTAGTGAAGAGCAGTCTGTCCGTTGGTTGTTGCAATGTCTGCATTAGCACCATTGGCCAGGAGCTCAGTGACACAATCAGTGTGGCCAGCTGATGAGGCAATAATTAGAGGGGTCCACTGAGAGTCATCTTCAGCATTCACCTGTAGCACACAATGAAAAGGAAAATTGCATCAAGAGAAACTGGACCCCTACAATTCGACCCCAACTATACGTTCGGTGTAACCATAGATAATGCAATGGTATCTTTATCGACGTAAAAAGCGACGGACCTCAGCTCCAAGAGAGATTAGGATCTTGACGATGTCAGTCTGGCCTGATACGCAGGCCCAGTGGAGAGCCGTTCTCTGGTGAGAGTCTTTCCTGTGGATCAGTCCGGCGTTTTCGGCCAGAGCTGACCTCAGTCGTCTCGTCTGGGCCTCGTAGGCCCAGCAACAAACATCCACGTCCGATACCTGACCCGCCATCTCACATGCGCGCGTGGAAATACGCATGCGCACTAGATACTTGACGCAAATTCATTTTGCGCATGCGTTGATCTTGTGAAAAGTGCAAAAGCCAATTGACAAGTAAAAATAGACTGATGACGTGCTCTGTGCATGAGTTGAGTCCACAAAACATACATTTAGGGAGTGCCTAACAACCAGTGAGCTGTTCTCAGACGGCGGTGGATGTATTAGGGCTGGCTCCCCGTCCCTTCCCAGTCTTCTTCCTCCCTAGGTTCCTCCAGCCCCGCCTACCCTTCCCACTGGCCGACGCCCCCTTCCCGGGCTTGGGGGTGGATATTTTTGAAGTGCTCGGACTGAACCCCTCCGATATATTGGGAGAGGACACCACACCAGGTGGAGTATTGCCAGCGGTGGTGGTGGTGGTGGCAGTGGTAGTGTCTCCAGTGGTGAAATCAGGGTCCTCGAAGCTGTTGATGTCGGACCACTGGTTTGAGAAGTCGTTGGGATCACTGGTGATGCTCGGCTGTTGTTGTCTCGTCTGGGATTTTGGCCGTATGGGGGTGGAATGAAGGGTCTTGATCCTGCTCATGAGGGCCTGCTGGATCTTGTCGTTCGCCGAGGGGGTCGTTGTGGGTTTCGCCGGTGTCTTGATTGGGGTGCCCCCGGGGGAACGAGGTCGCTTTGTCGAACGTAGCTTCGTCTGTCCGACGCTGGCTATCTCGTCGAGGAAACTTCTATCGGCTCTGACTCCAGGCAGGGGTATGTTCTGGGCAGAGTGTTGCTGCTGATGTTGTTGGTTGTACACTGCTCCACTAACAAACTGACCGGTTCCTGCGGTGTTGGCAGCTCCTCTTTTGAGTAGGATGGGCCTAAGTGTGGCAGGTGGAGGAGGAGGGGGAGGAGGTGGGGGAGGGGGAGGGAGTCCGGCAGTGGGAGGTGGGGGAGGATTTCTGGGAAGATGTGTGTCCTCGCACTCAATGACGACCTCAACTACCACAGAGTTGGGTGGTTGAGGTGGCTCCGGGTCTCTCCCCGGCAGAGAGAGACTTGGTTTAGCTGCGGCTCCCACTTCAGTTCCGTCGGTGCAGTTGACCGAACCGTTCCCGTTATTCAGAGACGACACAGATCGAGTCCTCGTCCTCTCTCGTTTCCCGTCAGGCGAAGGATTGTCCGCACCGCTCCCCTCTCCTCGCTCTAACCCGCTGGGCACGGAGCGCCAGGCGGCCACTCGGCGCGGAGCCACGTCAATGTTGTGGCTGTTGCAGTAGTTTGTGACCTGTTTCTCCAACATGAGTATGCATTTCTTGAGCTGCGATTCCTCGTACGACTGCTCGGCCAGTGGGATGCGGTCCAGAAATGTTCTCAGGTCTCTCAGATACTCTTCCTTCTCCTCCCTGTATTGCTGGAAACACACACACACATTAGTCCCTCTACATTGGCTCAATCAAAACGGGAATTGTATAGTTTTCTAGGCAAATATTGTACACACAGTTTGTGGATTGGTTTTGGAGGATTTTCTCCATGCCTGCAAAACAACAAGTTTTATTTCTGTCGTACCAAACAGTGAATAGCAATAATGTTCCTGGAAAATTTGCACATAGTAATGCATGTACATGGAGTGTCAGGTAAAATTCCTTCCCAGAGATGTGTTGTTTTACACAACACACTTTCAAAGTTCTCCCATATGCTATGAAAACAGAACAGGCAGCAAGTGTGTAGTAACACTGAAAGTTAACCCACTTGCTGGAGCTCTTCCCGTAGGAGTTTGTCTCTCTCTGTGACCAGATCGATCCATTCCCTCACCAGTTCCTGGACTTGCTCTGCAGACAACACACACCACACCATAACACATGCGCAACACAATATTGGCGAGCTTGTGCAAGTTAGAACATTTTTGGCAGTTTAGCTACATAGATTCATGCACAAATCGACTACAAAGACAGCGGTCATTCAAGGGTTCCTGCAGTGATCAGATACATGGACCCACACATTGGGTCAGAACCCTGCAAGAGTAGTTAGTATGTGTATCAGTACACACTAACAGGGATCACCACACATGTATCTGGGCCATCTTCAACTGCAGCGGTGGCTTTGTTGTTGTTATAGCACCACCGAGCAACAGAGGGCTCTGGTCGCGAGACACCCAGCCATGTACTGGTGAATAACCCAGAGAGATTTTCCAATGAGGTCATACACATGTACAATGAGATCATAGCAGTGCCTCCTGTGTCTAAACTGGCACAATCAGTGTGAGCACTGGCCTCGTTCCCAGGACTTCTGTCTCAGAGTGCACATATTAATTTAGCACCACCTGCTGAGCTGCCAGATAATTTCCCGGGCAGGTCAAAGGTTATGCACACAGCCAGCGCCTGGGAACGTGTGGACAGCCTAAAGAGTACACATCTGCCAATCAACCACTGGTGATCATGCTCCAAATCCAAAATTGTCTCAGTTGCAGAGGGGCAGTATACAGTAAGCCTACAATACATTGCATATCTGCTAACCAAGAAACCCAAACTATATACATGCACATGCATAAGTGTACTATCGGTAGCTGCATGTGTTAATTAATAATGTCATTACCAGGGGTGAGCTTGTCCTGATAGAGGAGCGTCAGTAGCTCCTCCCTGCGTCCCTCCGCCAGCAGCTTTCTCTCCAGGAGACTACCTCTGGGAACCAGCCAGGGATACCCTCCTTCGCCGTCTGCAGCTGCTGGGGAGACACACAGAGATTATTTCAGACGTGTAGCCGTGTGTGAGACCTGCAAGGACTTGGCGGAGACGGGAAAGGTTCACTTGGTCTATGCTAGACAGCAGAGCCTCACTGCTACCGTCTCCACGGTAGCAGGAGGTTGATATCCACTGTGTAGAAGCAGGAGGAGGGCAAAACATGGCTGAAGGCTGGATCTCTCCAACGCCACCCTCGCTGGATCACGGAGCCGGGGAGGACCGCTAGCGGGGTTTGAATTTTACGCATGCGCAAACGCAAACGGATCGATCGCGCTGGGTGTGCATGTGGGGGGCGGAACGACAAAAGGCAGAAGGAATTCCCTGTGTTCTCTGGAAAATCATGACAGGCACCCCCTCGAAGCTGCACAACTCTCTGCCACATCCAGCACTGCAGCTTTCGACTTTATACTGAGCCTCAACTGCGACTGTATCCAGTGTTTTTTCGTGTTGTAAACTTCTGGACGTATCGCGAGGTGCGAAGATTTTTGCAAGAAGACAGGTGGAGAGCTAACTGGCCGCAGGGACTCTGGGAGTTGTGGACACTCTTCACGAGGTGAGCACCTATATATACAGCTAATGGCGGCGTGTGGTTGTTTGCAAGCGACGCAAGCAACTGCACCCTAAAGACGCGCCGCTTTGCCCGTACCTATGGGTACCACTCTCTGTGTGCGAGATGATGTTGTTTCATGGGCCTGCACTTTGCCTGATAGATGCACTCGACCTATCAAGTTGCTTGGCACTTTTGCGGTAGACAGTCCTTCCTTCCCCAGGAAAAATTCAGCCTCCTCCAATGCGTGGCCATACGCTACGTACAGCTAGATTTCTCCAGCTAGCCTGTGCATGTTATCCACCCCTAATGTTGTTCTTCACGCACTAATGGTTGTGTTTACCTGATGGAGCTTTACTCTCACTCTTTGCCATTTCTCTATAGCGTTCTCCGTCTGTCTCTCTCTAGATTTCTCTCTCACCGTCTCTCAGTCTTTGTTGTCTGCAGTCTTACTCTTGAGTAGTTTCTTCGACTATACTGCCTCCATACTCACTACGCTGTTGGAGTCGTCTCTACAGTACGCTAACTGACTAAAACTGACGCTATTTGGTGTGCTGTTGCAAGATGAATACTTGTACCTCTGACTGGCTCCACTTGTACTAAGTGTCTATACACGTAGTGAGTACATAGTGTATGTCCCAGATGGACGGGTCGAAAGGGGATGCTTGTATGAGCTACACGCTGTCAACATTATTGCTCCTCACACAGCTGGGCTGTTTCCTGTGTGCTTGCATGTACAGAAGTCTCTAAAGATGGCCCCTTTGTAGTGTCAGTGGCTATACATATGTACCTCAATGTACCACTCTGTGTCTGGGAACAATGCACGGGGCATGGGACAGGGCCAACCATAGTGCGCTGTATAGTTTGTCGCCTTATTAATATCTCGTGTCGCTTTAGTGGTTGTTGAGTGCATAATGAGAGTTTGTACTGGAAATGGCCCACAATGGCTTGTACTGTACATGCTGTCCTGGGAATATACTAGTTGACTTGGTTGCTTGCCTTGCCTTTCTACCTCGTTACCAAGTTGTTGAGACATGCACCACGAGCTGTCTCACGCTGTTTGCCGTGTGTGTTGTGTTTTTCCTGTTTTCTGGCACCATTATATATACCAGTGAAATAATCCAGCAGTTTCACAATGTAACGTGCAATGGTTTTAGAGTATGGTGCTTTTGTTGCTGCAGCTGTAAGTAAGTATTGTGCGAGCTGTATGTTATTCTATCCCTGTGTGTGGAATGTGCACATACAGAGGGTCCCCGCCCATCATGACAAGTCTATTTATTGGTCAGGATATTTTCTTGGGAGAATTGCAGTGGACAGACGTAGATACATATACATAAATATTGGAGCTTGTGTGCAACGTAAATATCCGTTACATGTAATTGTCAGTTCTGCGGTAATTTGAAATCAATCTTGGACAAAGTGTTCACATACCCATCTCCGCCATACACACGCCACACAACAATGGCCATCTTTGTTACATTGCACCTTTGGCTCCAGGAGCAATCTTACTAGATTATAGCCTGCTCTAGACACACACACACACACACACAGTGTCTATACCAGAGTTATATGTTGGGAATGCAGGATGTTTTTCCCTCCGTTCTTCCCATCATATTTGGCCATAGTCTCATTGTCACTCTGCTCTATACCCACCTACATGATGTGGTGGTAGATACACATTACATTATATCAGTGACCTGGTAGTGCAGTGTTGTGGTGTAAGTGTGTGTGTGTGTGTGTGTGTGTGAGTCAATAAAGGTGGGTAGAGGGATCCTCAACTTTATAATCACTGTAATTGTGGAAACCGTGGCTATTTTTGTATACACTTTAATGCATGGTGCTTGTGGCTAAATCGTGTGTGTATTTGTTGGATATCCCTAGGCAACCGACATGTATGAAGCGGGATTTTATCAGCCTATACAATCCTACATGTGCAAGCAGGGTTCATACATGTCATTTGCCTAGGGATATCCAACAAATCTGTTGCAGTACCCAACTACAAGATATATCCTGGCAGCATCAAAGTGAGTGTGGAAAGTCTCTACTCATTATTGCTGAGTGCATATTCTATACTTTGGGGTTTACGCAATACACCTTTCGACAGCATATTATTATTCCACTCTGTTGCCTTAGTGTTTGTGTGTGTACACATGGCAACAAGGGCTGGCAGGGAATCTGAAACAGGTGCTCCACTCGTCCCACCTGTGTGCATTCTGAAAATGTGCGCAGTACAGGAGAGCATGGAGATCTCTTTTCCTATGTACACCACTATCCCAGTGACCTACGGGTGTATGGGCACTCCTTATCTCTGTCTCATTTTTTCTTCACTGTATCTGCAGTGTTCAGTGTTGGTTTTGATCACGAGATTTGTATGTGCCACTATAATGTAGATGCACCTGCTGATGTTTGTAAGGTCTGATGAACGTTGGTATTTATAGTATTCTGTGAATAATGGTGACTTACAGCTACCTTTTCTTATGGAATAAAGCTCGTACTACTGGATGAGCATTAACCTTATGGGGCCCTGGGATTGCTAGCTGCATGAGCAAACACACATGAGCAAACACACATCAGCACCACCACCTTGTTGTTTGTAGACATGCCTTTACCTTTGTTAAATGCAGGGTTGGGTCTAATGAACTAAAGTTCATATATATTTCTGACGTATGGAAAATTGCCTAGCGTATCTCTGTTTCCTATTTAATGCTCAATTAGTGCCCAGAATGCATGGAATGTGCACTCCCTCGTTGTATTAAGTTTCACAGACTCGAGCTGGAATGGTGAAATGAATGGGTGTCGGGTCTGAGGGTGGATGCACTACAAAAATGTGTTACAGTAGCAGCAAGTGTGTGCGTGGTGTGCAGCATTGTGATGTACTGTGTATCTATGTTGGTGTGGGCAGGTAGCCAGCGAGGTTCTTAGACATCTGAGCGAGATGCATGTGCTGCACAATGCACCAGTGTCTATACTATGCCAAGGAGGCTCCATACTCTACTTCTAATGACACATGAAAGGAGTTTCCACCTTTTAAGTGTATATATGTACTACGCATCCCCTCCCTCCTTGCCCCTGCAAAGGTGGATGACGTGTGCCTAGTCTGCGTGTGTGTACTGAGAATGCCGAGTTTGGCCTGGTCAGGTCGATAGCATCTTTCATCTGGGCCAGCTCACGCCAACTAGTGCTTGAACCTCTGCCATCATCAGCACAACGTGTCTTCCTTTGTGCCCACATGCAATCAGCGATAGGCAATGAAGTCAGGTAATGGGTATGTGCATACAGGTCATGTGTGCATGTGTGAAACTGCTCGGGTAGAGTCCTGCAATCAGTGCAATATCCTCTCCTGACTTCCTCCCCCATTGTGTAACACTGTCCACTTCACTTTAGATGTGCCCTAGCCAGGAAGAGTAAACGACATTTACTTTAAACTCTCCTCTAGTGTGGAAGAGAAAATTACATTCCTCTGTTACGTCATGTGAACGGTACCTCATGTCACATGACGTATGTGCGGGTATGCACATAAGCAGGAACAGTTTAGTGTGCAGTAGGTTGTAGAGCACCTACAATTACACTGGATTAGTATTCTAAAATGCAAATTATGGCAATACTTGATGTGCATCATGTTACAATACTCCTTAGTCATGCAGCTACAGGAGACATGCAGGGTTTTTTTTCCAGGTGAAGGGAGAAGGTCCCACTCCCCATCCTGGAGAATGGTGTGTGTGCTCCCACCTCAGTCTTTAGGGCTAAGGCTCCCTATTCTAACTGTACCACTTTCCTTCCCTAATATATATATCCCTGGTGTGAACTAGTACAGATTAATATTATTGGGGAGGAGCTATTGCCAGTCAGCAGTATGAGCTACAAGCATATCCCTTTCCTCCTCCTAAATCCTACTCCTATTCATCATACAGTGTAAGGTCAAGGTGGGGTGCAAACATCAGCAGTGTTGGACATGATCTGCAGCTTATTCTTAAACTCTTTGTTAGACTCTGACCTTTTACAACTACCCCTTTCCTCCCATTGGTGTCAATGATATTCATAATGCAAGCCACTATTCCCAGTAATTAACAAGTTGCTCACTCTATCTGGCTGTGACACAACACATTCCTCAGTAATCAGTGCCTTATACAGTGGGAACTAGTGAGAAAACTTTTGCAACATTTTGCAGTCCTAAGTCAACCGTAAACGTCTTATCCAAGAATGTTTTCGCCAGTGACGTGCACGTGGATGTATTTGATCGAGTAGAGGACAAGTAGCTAGTGTTCTCCTTCTTCTCCTTGTTTTCTTCCTAATCGCCCATATTTTCTCCATTTAAACTTTCCCAAATAAGTGCCAGTAGAGTGTTTCACATGTTTATGATTTATGAGTGAGGTAAGCCTATGTATGTGCCTTTAGACCTCAGTTTCGCAACATTAATGCCAATGAAGGGAGTTATGCGGACAATGTGCATGCAGTTCAAAGGACACACTATAATTATACATTTTGCTCGCTTACCACAAATTCATTACATAATCACATGAATTGGTTTACAGGGTCATGCACTGTTGGTCTCTATCACCTATAAAGTGAAGTTTCCCATACTCACCATTAATTTTTGTACCATGCAGCACATTTAGCGTCCTTTGAAGTTCAACTTTAGAATCCCCACATATTTGTCGGTTCCTCCCTTGCCTTGTATAGTACGCCACTATAATGATTGGAAAGTGTAATACTGTAAGTTTTGTATCAACCATCGTAGGGCCATCCATGTACTGTGTCTAGTAGAGTCCCAAGTTTGTCAAGTGGCAGTCAACACACCACCTGTCAGCAACATGTTATTTACCCGCCTGCACTGCCTCCTAGCCTGGAGTCTAAAGCAGAAGGAGTGTTCTGTTAGAGAGAAACTAAATGTATTTCGTAATGTTACGTAATTATTGTGACTTCCAACATGTGTTATGTAATTACCCAGTCAAACTACTCAATGTGGAATCTAAGGCTTTGTTGGAGGCGATCCAAAGGTTTTTTCCGTGATGCTATAATGTTGTGACCTTGGATCCGTTCTTTGTTTGATGATTTAATGAAAGGCCAGCTGAGCCATAGCTGAGCACGGGCCCAAATAGTGTCTTAAGTAGTCTAAATACCACCTGGAGTTGCTGAATGTGGAGGGGAAAATCCACAAAACTCTGAGAGTGTTGTGACCTTCTTTTCCAAGCCCTATGTGACCTGTGTACAAATTCACGTGTGGTACACAATACGACTGAAAAATACCTAGGCAGCGTAGCTTTTCAGTAATGCCCTTGCTTAATAGATCTGGAGTGTGGCAAAGAGGGAAGGTTTGTTGAGTGTGTGTGTGTGTGTGTGTGTGTGGGTGGGTGTGGGTTGGTTACTGTGTAAAATGTTTTTGCTGGAGGCAGTCTGCTTTGAGATTTCTCTTCCTACCATATCACAAAGTCTCTTCTATACAAAAGGGTACAATATACACCTGAAAAAGGGCTTTAGTATGAGGCAACACCATAAAGTATGAAGGGCCCACTACAAATGAAGACCTGGTGTTTGCTGGGTGATACCTAATCCCTCAGTCATCTGATCACCAGCTGTACTCATGTGGGCAGTTTTATAGTGGTTTCACTGTAAGTGTATATCATTTCCTCACACATTCTCAGCCTGTGTACACCTCCATCCATAGCCCTCACAATGTAGTACTATATTTCCACAGGGTGAGAACAGATTATGTATATACTTACATTCTGACTGCTAGACTGCCTTTCATGTATGCATGTACCAACTATTCAGAGTGGTATATAGTATATACCTGTTAGCTCAATTATGTACTACACTTACTTTCTCTTTCACATTCCAAGTACCATAAGCATAGGATCACTTAACAGACATGCTGTAATGTAATACCTATGTAATTGTCCCACTTAATGGGTTTGTCACTATCATTGTGTACATAAGATAAATCATACCATTTCGTTTTGTAGCTTTTGACTACCTGAACTTTACCCAAAATTGGGAAAATATTTCTTGTTACACAGTTTTGCTCTGCATTTCCAATGCTCCACTGGCATGAACAAGTGTCGTGCTTTGACAGCCCATTCCACTTAAAGAGCTGCTATCACCTTCTCTTGTCGGCATAAAATTCCCTTACCAAAATGTACGACAGGCAATTCCAAAAAAACCTCCTACAAAACATTGGGCACACATGTATATACACATTTGGCTTGTTGTGCAGTGTTATATAAGCAGGGGCTTGGGTACAATAACACGTAGCTCACGTAGTATCGGCTAGAGTAAACACTTTTTTAGAGTTGAGTCCACATGTATACACAGAACGCAGATTTACAATAATATCCTTATTCACCTGAAGAAAGCAAAACACACTCTAAAACAAAATCGTGGTGAAGCATTGCCCAAAGAGAATTTTCTGCATTTTGTACCGAGATCTTTGCGTATGGTCTATTTATCCATCGTCTATGGAGGGTTACTGACACACGCAGTCAATGTCTTGATAGTGACACATATGCATACTGGCTATTATCGAAGCAGATGGTTTAGAGTAATCCTACCCTGGGGGAAATTAAATAACTTCCTTGTATTGCTAATCATTTGAGTCTATATTACACTTACAACACCCTGTACCATAATTGTACGGTTTGCTGAGTGTAAAATTGTTCTTAGTTGGCTCATTTTTCATGTGTTCCTCGTGTTTTTATACCGTATTTATCATACAAAATGAAGCATGGAAGAAAAATGCAGTAGTTGAAGAGATGAATGTCCCAACAAATAACTTAGTGCAGTATACTAAAAATGACTTGTGAACTTGCACAATGCTGTCTCTGCAGGTACATGCTTTAACTGACATGAGAAATCACCTTGGCTGAGCATTGCACAATTTTCGCTTTGGTCAATAGCACACCTCTATAATATACTGCATAGCCACTCTGTCTCGATCGCCATGACTGAGGCTCAGGTAGTGGTAAACGGAGAATCCCGTGGAAGACCTCTCTCTGACTCTGTCTTCTCCTCTCCTCACTCCACCGACGTGACCGACGTCGATGATATTCCAAGGACCAATGAAATGGCCCGGAGCAATGCATGGAATAAACCCCAGATCAGTATCGAGTCGGTGGACGGAGACGATATTGTGATTGAGCCACTTTCCTCCCCCATGACACCCCCGGAGATAACCCTGAAAGGTTTAGAAGACAGCGGGAGTACCGACAAGGAACCTAGCATGCATGTCGAACCGACTCGCGTGTACCCCAAAACTCCACCACCAAGCTACAGGTTTCATTCGCACGACCAGAGAAGCAGTTGCGAGGTGGACGGGAGGGAAGAATCGTTCGAGGTGGAGACCAACCCAGAGAGAAATGGGAAGAGAGAGTCGAGTGACAGCAATTCTCTCACAATCTGTCCCTCAACCACACGCTCCCTTTCCCTCCCGAATGGGATAACACTGGACGTGAAGAGGTTCTCTAGCAACTCTGACGAGACGGTCGACAGCGAAATGGGGTCACCGACGGAGAAACGGAAGCGGATGCGACACCTCGCCCCTCATCTTCACCAGGACAGGCTGGGCAGCGCAGGGAGCAATCTCTCGTCTCCGGAAACCTCTGACGATTCAAGTTCCGATGGCGCTGGTGAAGACGACAAGTCCGACATACCTCTCCTGCCAGAACAAGAAGACGACATATTCATTGACCCAGAGCTCTCTGTAATACAGGAGCAGGCAAACACAAAGCTCATAAGCTGGGCATGCTCTGACTTTGTACCTGCGTGTCACCAGCTCTTGTCTCGCTGCTGCAAGAACGAGAAATCAGCACTCATCAAGTCGGCAAACATCCAGGCCGACTTGAGGAGCCTGTCCAATACCATCACTTTCTTCTGCAGCGAGCAGCAGCAGCGTCTGAGTCAGGTATTCCCAGTGAAACAGGGGGAAAATAGGGGAGTAAGTCAGTCTACCAGCACACAGACATTTCCACGACCGCAGAAGAACGCGGTTGAGCAGGGAGACGAAGAAACAGGCGTGGACCGAAGCTACGCCGTCAAGGTCCTGCGCAGCGCTTCACAATCGCTCATTGCACCTCTGCTTGTCCAGGCTTCCCAACGGGAAGGTTTCACTCCTGCTCTGCACCAGGCCATCACCAAGGCCCTGCAGAAGATTGCCTGGAAAGTGGAGGCCTGTGCGTCCTTCAACAACCCTAGCCATTCGGTCGAAATCCACGAAAAGATATTTGATGCCAAACACTCCGAGAAGATACGTGAGTTGATGATTCAGGCACTGCCACCTGCCCAGCCCAACCTCCGCACTGGTCAACCTTCCCTCGTGAAACTTAGGAAAACCTCACTGCCTAACATTTCTCCTGAGCCTCCTGTGATCCCAATGAGGAGAGGTCAGAGTGTAACGAAAAAACTGGGTGAGGATGTGGTTGTTGAAGCAGATCTTCGGCATCCTGAACTGACTCGTACTGGGGAGCCAGACAAAGATGACGACGACGATGACGTTTGGAAGGAAGGAGAAAATGAAGGGATTGAGGCTGAGGAGAGTTGCCGGCAAGAAGAAGAGAGTGGACCTGCAGCCACCAGTGATCTTCATGTAATCACGGAGGAAGGAGGTGTCAGTGCCACAGACGTCGGTAGGCGATCACCATCGAAAAAGGATAGATCTCGAGAAACCACACCAAACCTGCCAAGGAGAGAGAGAATCGCGACCGAGGGTGAGGCGGACTTGGTGGGAAAGTCTCCGCTCTTGAAAAAGAGCGATTTAGGCGGGAGCATACCCAATCTGGACCGGGAGGAAGGAGACACGTTGAATGACAGCAATGCCAGTGTCAAGAGTGAAAGATACTTCAGACCAAAGACGTTCCGTCGAACGACCATCTCTCTGTCGCGGAAAGAGGTTCAAACGCTGGGTCTCACCGTGGCTAAACGAGTCGATGAGTCGATCCTGGACGACATTCGCGTCCAGCGAGAACGAGAGGGGGCCCACAGGAGGTCATGCAGACAGAAGACCCGGGGGAGCAAGAGCGATGAGAAGCCTCCCCGTCACGTTGATGACGGGCTGGCTCCCCGGCAGCGCCTGGAGCTGGAGGTACGAGACCAGCAGCATGAGAACTACGGCATTGAGAACCCTGAAGATCTGGACAAGGTGGGGGATAGACTCCACAACACTCTCACCAAGCGCTTTGACCGCTATCGCAGTGCGAGCGTGTCAGACATTATCGACTGCGAGGATGAGTCTGCTCCTTATGTTGACTCCACTACTCCGGACCCTTCGAGTTCCGACCGAGAATCGGACGTCTTCTCGCCCCAGCCTAATCAGAGACTCGAACTGGTCCCTCGTCACCCACAGTTGTTCCGCAATGCGAGTGCGCACCCCAGCGTAACAACCGCACCTTCGCAACCCGCCTCACCGAGCTATGTCCCGGCACGAAGAAGCATGCAGGTCACGGCATCCTCCTCCTCCTCGTCTTGCGACTGGGTCATTGTTGAGACAGACAAACAGAAGAAGTCTTCCATGCGAGGCCGCGCAAAGGCCACCGTCAAAAAGAGCATCTCCTCTTCTGGGAGACTTGCACATCGCCTCTTTAAAACTGGTCTCTCCCTACGAAACAGCAGCTCAAGCGCGAAACCCATGTCAAAGAGTCTCAGTGCAGCAGATTTGCTGGATGAATCCTCAGTCATTCACCAGCAGCAGTGTGCAGCACCTGCGGGTCCATCGCGATTGTCAATGTCCATCGCCACCTCGACGCCATCCTACAACACGTCCACCCTCCCCTACCGTGGGAAGAGAAAGAACACAATTGTGCGGCTAATTCGTCGGGGGAAGGACTCCAGGTCGCGCAGCTTCGGGAAATCCGACAAGTACTCCACGGGGAACTACCCCACCTGGCACCCAGAGGATTTCGACTACGGCAGTGGAGACAAGTCGTTTGCCGAGAGCATCGAAACCGTGTCGAGAAACGCCATACACTCCATTGCATTCGATGGTAAGTCCCCCCCACCCCAACTATGCACATTGATGATATACACGTACCAAGAACCCTTATTTGTCATCTGTGTCAGACGATAGTGAATTAATGAGGCAGTGTAAACACAAGGCCAAGACATGTAGGTATCAAACAATAACTACACCTAGGACTGATTATATGCATGCCATGTTTGGAGATTCCATTGTTCTGGACGGTACATGTGGGTGTAGCTGCTTGTTTAGTTCCTGCTGCTCATTGATTGCACAATGATCTAGTGTTTTCAAAGAACACAAGCGAGGTTTCTGTTCCATAGCCAGCATGTCTTGTTTCCTGTTTTCAGATGAGGAGCAGCTCTTGATATCGGTGGATATGGCGTCAAAGAAACTGAGGAAGAAGCAGGGCATTCATAACGGATCGTCTCTTGGAAGTGAGTACCACTACAGTCTCAGCTGTAATATCCTTTTTGTGAGTGTGGAGGCTTTAAGATTGTGGTGGGATGCATCATTCCTTATCCTCCCCCTCCTTACTACATTCACACACACTTTACTCGCCTTTACTGCAGGGAATTGTAAGTTTCACCCTCAATGGTGTGTACATGCTATGAACTATAATTTCATGCCCAATTCTTCCTTTTACGGCCTTAGTATGTATGTACTGTACCTCATTGCACACCTTTGGACTAAATACGTATGTTACACCTCCATATCCTTGCTACCACTTAGGCTCTTATAATACCCTCCCCTCCCTTACTACTTTTTCCTTACTTGTTCACTCTTCTGTCTGCAGGAGAGAGCAGTAATCCTTGGTTCCAGATCTCGGTCAACACCAACATCAAACTGGTGAGCTGCACCCTGTAATTATACATACGTATGTATGTACAGTCTCCAATGTGTGACTCAGTTTTTAGCATCTAGTACAGTACACATGCATTTGTACACACATGAGCAATATAGTAGTAGTAATGAAGTCCCCATGTCATTAACAGTGTATGTATGTACATCAGTAACATGAGCAATACTAAAGTGTGTACATACGTGCATGACTGGAAGAGCTGTGGTGAGGACGATAGTGGGAAAAAATCTGAGGTGGTCAAAACTCTCAGTAGGAGTGGCAGGACGCCCTCCATAGAAGGAAGGCCAAGCTATGTTTTGTGGCGCTATTTCCTCTGTTTGTATGAGGCACTACACCAGTGCATGGCACAAATCCCCCTAGAGTTGCCTTTCCCACAGTACATACAGTACTCACAATTGGTTTCCTTGCTACACCATTGGCAATGTGCTTGAAGTATCCTTTCCCTTTCTAGCTTCTTACCCCATTAAACATTTGTGTTCATCCTTTGCCATAATATTATGTACATATATAGACATGTACTACAGATTTAGGTAGTCTGTGAATAATGTAGTGTGCATGTAACCGTGCATAATGTGTCTATGTATGTACCTTTGTGCCTCTCTCATGGTTACAGTTTGGTCGCCGAGACTACATCATTCTGAGACCCTTCAAGGAGATTCAGAGGTTGATTGACAGCCTCTCTACTCATGGAGGTGCGTACATACACTATGACTGTACAATCCACTATACGTTGTACAGTAGTGTATTGTGTATCCCTGTATACTCTTAGGGCTCTTTGTCTATTGTGGTTACATAGTAGTCATTATTGGTGAGCAAGCCTCAATGCTCCCATTGTACACACACTACACTACATGAATGAGCAATATATGTAGTACCAACTTGAGCTTGATTCCGGGTTTTATCTCCAAATACGGTATGTAGGTCCCTGTGATTTTCATAATGTACAAAAAATCGACACCTGCTTATCTCTTTTTGAATGTGTGTGAGTGTGTGTAAGTGCGAACGTGTATTCACAAGCACAGTGTATGTTTTTGTGTTGTGTTCTGTTTCTGGAAAGTCGTGTTGTTTTTGCTTTTGGTCTCTGCAACTCTTTCCAAGTACAAACACACGTCGTTTTGTAAAGGGCCACTTTCGCCATCCCGTACGTACGTACGTATTATGTACACGCGCACATGTGGTAAGGTTTATACTGAAACTGTTTAGGACGCTACTACGCTATATGTTTTGTGCTGGTATATGTGTGTATGTATATATATGTACAACTGCAAGTGTGTGTTTATCATTTATGGCTCTCGGGGGGGAATGGATCAAAAGTCTATGCCGTGTTTTTCCTCCACGAAAGTGTAGCTTCCAGGAAAACTACCGTGTTTGTGTGTACCCTTACGCTGCAGAGGGTGTGAACGCAAAACAATATCGCTGGTGATTGCCAGGGGTTAACCCTCTCAGAGGGGATTACCCTGGGACCAGCCGAGTTTGAATGTAAAAGGACGGGTCATGTCACGGTTGTTTGAATGTTTATGTGGATATTTATAGGCTGTGTGTGTGTGTGTGACAGAGAGAGAGAGAGGTGAGATACAGATGCCTTGCACATGTAGGTGTGGTGTGCATCTTAAGAAGAATGCATGACCATGAACTGCTTACACAGGTTTCCACGCATGCACATTATGTATCGTGTAAAAGCCAACCAAGACAATGATGTAACCCGCTGCTTTCTCGAACACTGCACACACACACACACACCATCTCTATCCTTTATCTCTTCCTCCATTTCTCCATCACTCGATATCTTCTCCCTCCCATCCTCTCTCTCTCTCTCTCTCCCTCTCTCCAGCCATTGATCTCCAGATACCTCGACCGGACAAGAAGTCGGGGGCCAAGAAGCAGATGAAAGGGATGGAGGATCTCCTCCGCTCCATCGCTGGAAACCCTCACCTCCGCAGTAACCAAGCCTTCATCACATTCCTACGCCCTGACGATCAGTTTGGCAGCTTTACCGAGAACGACCATTCTGAAGTGGTGAGTCAGTATTGCATCATACATACCTTACCACGTGGACCATAGAGAGAGAGGTTTAGCGACATGGAAACAAGATGCCTTTGTAGCTACCACATCTATTAGATGCAGGCACTCGCTCTAGAGCAGCTTTTTAGCATTTTTCATACGCAGCGATGAAACCGAAGAAATGATACACCCTCATATGTACTTTTAATTCTGGGTTTCAATGCGCACCATATGTAATGCTTGAACTATTGATCCTTGTGGTGCACCCTTTTGGCAGAATTCTAACCCTGAAGGATAATCTTGGGCAAAGTTGTTCTTACGTGACAGTCGTGGTATTTATGATTCTATAGTGTGTGGTCGTTGCACAGCTGTGCCGCTATCGTGTGTGGAGTCAACGTGATTTAATAATCTATTGGCGCTCGTTGTGAGGTCGACCCTTAATCAACTTGGGCATCTGATTAGTCCACACTTTTATCTCGTCTTGCCAGCTACAACACAGCCACTATCATCTGCATTTCCGTCCCCCAGTTTATCAATTATACTTGGCTCTGTCAAAGTTTTAACAAAAGGACCTTTGCGATTGTGATTGTGTACGTGTACATATGTACTACATAGAGTTTTATTGAGTAAGTCTGTGTAAAGACTTGGTTATGCGGTCTCATTAGGAATGATGACTCCTACATAATCCGAGAGAAATTCCCTAATATGACATTTCCGCCGGCAATGCACATTCGTAATGTGAACTCGAGTGGACAATTCATATATCTACATTGTGTGTGCATTTGCAATTTGTAGCTGGATTGGGTGCTAATAGGAAAAGGTTGTTCCCACTTTGTCGTCGTGCTGTGCGTGCCTATTGCGTAGACTGTGTGCTACAGGCGTCCCAGTGTTCACCCAACATGTCCCGCTCACTGAACCTCTGCTCACGAGTCCTGTTATGGGCCTGACCTTGTACACGAGAACGCTGAAAAGCCGTTGTGTGTGTGTGTGTGTGTGTGTACATATGTACCTGACACAACCTTGACGCTGCATTGTGCTTGTGAATGTAAGCTCATAGTGGCATTGCATGCGAGTGGTGGCTAGCTAGCCAAGAGTGTCTAGCATAGACAGTATACCTATAGCAGTTACTGACCTCCATGTGAATGTAGACATTCACATAGTCTGTGGAGAGAATCGTGAGGACAAGCTAAACTGGTAAGAGCTTCCAGCTAAAGCTGCGTACTGTACATGTAGAGCGCACGCCTAGACTGCAGAGTGTTGTGGGTTCTAATCCCACCCAGGGCAGCTTTTCTTCTTTTCAGAAAGAGCTGTCCTGGGTGTAGTTGACTTGTTTGCCTTGCCTTGCCTTTCTACCTTGCTACCAAGTTGTTGAGACATGCATATATGTGCCTAGCTATGGATCCAAGAACAGTAGGTGTAAGTGTATATATGTAACCAGCAGTTTATTCGTACAGTTTGTGGAGAGAATTATCCATCGTACAAACTGGTCAAGGTTCGTATTCACCTGTGATAAAGATTGCATGTACTATGTATGTATGTATGCAATAGCTCAAGTATGTATGTAACCATAATAAACTGTTGGTTCCTGAAATTAAACATAGAAACTAGGGGTTTTAGCCATCACCTCTCTTTCCAGGAGACTCTGTTTTTTGTTTTGTTTCTCTGTGTGTTGGGACTGTACCCGTGATGTTTCCCCAAACCCCACACAGAGTTTTGAGCGACTGATGACCTTCTACACCCCCGACCTCAGCTCTGGTCCTCCGGGATCATTCCCCAGTGTTCAGATTGTTCCCGCTGAACATGTCCCTGGTGAGATGATACCGTATGTGTACCACGTGTGATGCATAATGGAATACTAGGCTGTGGAGACTTGAAACTGTATTGAATGGCGAGGGATTTGGTAACGCACACTATTAGAGCGTCGGTAGAAAGATATAGTGATGGAGCGTCATGTAGCTTATGCTAGCTGTGTAATGACCCCTTGTTGTTTCCTTTTTCGTGCTTTGAGCTATCCCTAATATATCCCCTTTCATTTTGAAGAAATGATTTTTTCCCACTTTTAGTGCCACTTGAACCCGTGTGATAGATGGGCATGAAACAGTATTAGATGAGAGGGAGTGGAAAAAAATACACTAGTGGTCTAGTGCTACTTGATTCTTCAGTTAGTTTAATGCACCCCTTCGTTTTCTCTCCCGTTCCTTTCTCTCCACTCTCGCACCTACCGTCTCTCTCTCCCTCTCCTGATGTTGTGTTGCAGCTGAGCCAGCAGACATGCCCCGCAAGTCGTCTCTGACCGCAGGTCACAAAAAGGGATCCATGCACTACATGAAGAGAGACGGCAAAGAAGACACTTCCACATTCGTCATTCAGGAAGGTACGTATTACACTACATGCCATCTATTCCTGGTTACTATGAGTCATACGTGGTATAAATCACTTCTTGTGTAGTGTTTGTTCTTTAGCGTCTTAACTAGTTGAAACGCTATGCATTTTTGGCGAGCGGGAGTGACCCAACTGCAGATACAATTATGCAGGCATTGGTGAGCATGCATGTACAGGAAGGATTATAGTTTGTCTCATAGCTGTCCTCTGCTGCTGGAGGCGTGTGAATCTACTCTGTCGATGCTTCACCTTCATGCATACTACAGCTGCGTTTTCCCCCCGTTCATTAGCAAAACAGATCACCCCGGGCTTGTCATACTTGTGCACGCATGCATGCAGATCCATGGCGAAAAAATATTTCTTGGAACTAAATTTTGACGTGGTAGTGTACATGATAGTATAGAGACTGTATAATGTGTAAAAGGGTGCTCTTGATCTGTGCTGTATGTCTGATATTTTTTCAGAGGGAGAAGATGCTCTGATAGTGGCGTGTGAGGACGACCACTATGTGGTGGTGGCTGGGACCTTTGAGAAACTGGTGGAGCAGCTGGCCTGCGAAGAGAAACCTGGTACACCTTACACCTCCTACAACATACCTATATATGTAGTGAAGGTGTGACCATGTTGGTCCGTTGAAATCTACGCGAGTTAGAAGCCCTCGCAGGCCCTTCACGTAGCGTCCTCGCTGCGCTAGAAACGCCACAACACAAGAGCCCTCGGGCTTCTAACGCACGTATGTAGATTTCACGGCCTCGTTGTCTAACTCTTTTTGTGACATGTCTCGCCAGAAGTATGTGATCAAGGTGTAAATACAAGGAGAGTGCATGCGTATGTACTTAACAAGCCCTGGGTGGGACAAACGACACTCTGTTCTCTCTAGAGAGTATAGTGATTTACCACTGAGCTGCCATGGCAACTCATCAGCATGGCAACTTACCACACAAACAACTGTGCACGCAGAGCGATTACAACTGGCACGTATAAACAGTGCTGTACACAGCGACAATAATTTGTGGCCACGTTTGTTTTTTGCTCTTGGGTTTCAGGAATTGCGTTGTCGTACCTGTTATGTTGTTATTCACATGGTGTACATTTCGCCTTCGCACAGTACACCTGTTTTTGCTTTCAAAATGGCATTGCATTGGCGATTGGCTAACATACATCTTGAGAGGCTGTTTATGCGTTTATGTACGTACATGTTGAGGCTCTTTAGTTTCGTGGGAGTTTTATTGTGTAATTACACCCTGGCCTGGTTTAGGATAGGGTAAATTGCACATGAAACAGACTTGCAATACACATAACTATACACACAGGTGATTGCGTATTACAGCATAAGAGATAATATTCAGACGTTATTCTAAGCTTTACTTGTACACAACTATACATGTATGTACATGTTTTCCCACTATCAGTACATGTGTATGTGTGAGAGACTCATTCCTTGCATATACATACATACATATTTGGCATATACATACATACATATATTTTTTATTGTCCTTACTTTACAATGAGTCCAAGTATGCATGTACATATGTACACTGTGTGTTACTGAGCTATCTTTGATTCATTGTGTTGCAGATGCTCGGTTTGTGACCACATTCCTCCTTGGCTATCGTCATTTCGCCACTACTCTCGAGTTCCTTACAAAGCTCTTGGAAAGATATCCTGCTCAATTATTATAATCCCTCGTTACTTCGTTTAAGAATATGTGTAGTCACGAATACTCAATGCATAGTATGCCATAAAAACAACAGGTTACGAATGTGGGTTACGAGCTAAGAACAATGACGAGCAAAACTATAATGAGATAATGCAGTGCATTGTGCAATTATAGCTGCGTACTGTAGGGTATATACTTATGTGTAATATGTTCAGCTGTACAAACATAAACACACACCTGTTGACACATTAGTTAATTGACGATACACATGACCAGGAGACTCCATGGGCGTAATCCTCCATCTATGACCGAGTTTAACTAGTGGCATTATGCCTGTACATACAACATACGTATACGTACACGTTGTATGCCTTGGAGGCCTTTTATCTGCATCATGTTCAGGCTGTTTGTGTGTGTGTTGTTGCCTTGTATGTATGTATGTTGCCTCTAGGCCGTGTGCCCCATCCCATAGCCAGAGCAGCAGATACACTATCTTTGTTTGCTGTGTACTAAGTATAAACAACGGCAAAAACACGTACAGTGCACATACATAAGAACGTACATTGAGCCACTTTGTGTGTCACGTATTATACATGATGTGGTACGTGAGTATGAATGCTCCTTGACTGAGGCCCACATTCCACATGAAGCTGCCTCCCAATCCAACAGGTGAGGAGATGGCATATGCAGAGAAATGGAGTTACGTCATCCAACTCAGGTATGTATGTACACATGTACTACAGTACATACACTCACCACCTGCATTTATACCAGGCATAATTAATACATACATGTTAGTGAACATGGGTACGTAGGAGGAGTTAGAATGTTGAACCTATCATATTTACATATGAATCTAAGTTACTGTACATATGGTCTAATACCTTCATATGTACCCATAGCTTGAAAGGTGGCCTAAAGCATGATAATTATGCATGGCAGTCAAATGCTTAGGCGCGTGTGCTTTAACAGGTGCTGTACACAGATCAACCAGCCACGGGTGTTTTCAATTGGCCATTGAGACGTTCAATATGAACACCCGTGCAGCATGGAGTATATTGATTGATGTGCAACGTACAAAGTGTGCCAATTGGTGTTGGCCAGTAAGGCAGAGGATGGATTATCTGTTGACTGTGTGTATAATAATTATTTGATGGGGCTGGGTTGTTTGTGCACTGCTCAGGGTGCTGGATATCCTGACCTACTGGATGAAGAAATGCTGGCCCGACGTCTACCGCCATCCTCCTGTGGTGAGTCTCTTCTCTATGATATGCTGTAACTGACAATTATGAAACAATTTCAAAAGTGATGTCCTAGTCAAAGCCCTGCCATCATGCACCAGTATAATATTATGATAACTGTAGCTCAAATCACATAGCCCCCGTCTCCTAGCATGAGTATCTTGTCGCACTATTGGGCGTGTATGAAATACGGTTATAGAAGCAATCGAGGAAAATGATAATGTTGCTGCTGGTACTGTACTTTTGTCCACCACATACATACCAAATGATGCTTATCATATCTTTGCCACAATTGTCTCATAATATTGTGTGACCCACTCACTGCCTCCTGGTGCTCCTCCCAGCTGGAGAAACTGCGGGAGTTTGCCTCGTCTCTCAAGTCAACCGAGGATCACAACTTCCAGTATGCCGGAACCAACATAGAGAAAATCATCACGGAAAAGGTATTGTACAATCAATCCTCTCCACTCCACAGCTTGAACCACCTTCTTTCATCGGTCACAAGTTGCTTATGTTATTCGTTCTGTGTGTTCTCAAAATGCTGCACAAACAGAGTTGTGCATGGCCCAAAACATAACATATACATACAGCAGAGTCTTCTTTTTTCATCGGAAAAAAGAGCTGTCCTCGGCCGGTGTAGTTGACTGGTTTGCTTTGCCGTTGCCTTGCTACCGCCTTGTTGACTGACACACACACACTTCTTGGAACAAAAATCCAGCTACCACACATAGTGGTGTACAGATAATGGATTTTAGCTCTCCATCTCTCTGTCTCACTGTCTACAGATGGCTAACAGTGGTCACTACTGTCTTCCGTCAGACCTGACGCCAGCCTCCTGTCCCTCTCCCACCCTCTCAGCCTCACACCCTCCCACCTCACCCTCACACCATCGCCACCTCACGTCGTCACGGGGCTCCGGAGGGGGCTCACCCTCTCATCAGACCCTCATTAAGAGGCCGTCGGCTGGGGGCAGCCCCCGCTCAATATCGGTGTCCCCTATTCATCGTATCAGGGGAGAAGAGGGAGGGAGCAGTAGTAGCAGCTATTCCTCAGTCGACATCTGCTCTCTGCCTGCTATACAGCTTGCCAGACAGGTCAGCTGGAGTTTATGGTATTGTTGCCGAGCGCGTTAGCGTGAGGCAACTACTCCGGGTTGTATTCTTGCGATATGTACATACGTACGTGTCCGTCACGCTTAAGAATGTCAATTAGTCACGCTTAGGGAATGTCAATTAGTCACGCTTAGGGAATGTCAATTAGTCACGCTTAGGAATGTCACTTTCCGCCGTGCGTGTCACACACAATATTTATCTCCTACAGTTGACTCTGATAGAGCTGGAGTTCCTGAGAGCCATCGACGTCCACGAGCTGGTGGTTTCTACATGGGACCCCAACACCGCAGAAAACAAACCGTACCGTAGAAACCTCGACGCGTTCATCGAGCGATTCAACAAGGTCAGCTACTGGGTGGCGAGCGAGATCTGCTGCGTGGAGGACGTGCGACTGCGCGGGATACTGCTGGAGAAGTTCATCGAGGTGGCGAAACACTGCCACGAGTTCAAGAACTACAACACGACCATCTCTGTTATGTCGGGGCTCTCTCTGGTTGCAGTCCGGAGACTCAAGAGAAGCTGGGAGGTATAATATTATACCAGTATTCAGTGGACACTAGACCTGCATGCCACTTTATGCAGTTTATCTTAAGACCATGATACACGATGCAACTTTGTTGCATAAGACAAAGTTACACGCAACTTCAAATTTGTGCAACACATTTCATGCAATATCTAACTTTACTGCATCGTTTATCATTCCCATATATACACGTTTTGAGTTGTGTCTCTTGCATCATTGCCTTAGGGCCTCAGTTATCATTGCTGCATAGATATTTATCATCACAGAATTAATAGTAGTTGAATGAAGCACCCCTTTAAAACTGGCCATCCTCAGCAACTCTTGATATTGAAAGGGTGTTGTAAGTGTTCACTCTCTCTCCTGTCCTCCCGTCCCCGTCCCCGTCCCCAGCTGGTGAACGAGAAGACGAAAAAGGTGTTCACTAAACTCCAGGCTCTCACTTCACCCACCACCAACCACAGCAACTACCGCAGAGCACTGGCCACTGCTCAACGCAGAGATCCCTGCATCCCTTACTTAGGTAGAGATTATTCCATACTAGTATACAAGTACCATTTCGCAGGGGATTGGCACATTAGCTTTGTCTTTGACTCTTACAATTTCTGGTTACCACTGCCAAAAATGCCTTTCTCTTGAAATTGGATTGTGAAAAACTTTTGAGGAAGAAAACTTATTCAGTGGTGCACTTTTTAGCCTTTTCGCTCTGTATGAATGGACCACCAACCACAAAATTTGCAAGAAGGCTTTCTTAAAAGAATGGAACTTTTCTCCCACTAACATTTCGCGGTCCAATACTTATATATACGCAGGATAAACTAATCAGGATGTGCGGTCACAACTTGCCTTTTTCTCTCCACACACTCAACAGGTGTGTTTATGAGAGACTTGACTTTCTTCAACGACGGAAACAACAAAAGGCTAAAGAACGGTCTCTACAACTTTTCCAAACTAAGGACAATGGTCTACAAGGTGGGACATAATAATATGCTACCTTCATTGAAATGAGGAGTTTTACTACGATGTGCTCTTTCTTTGCAGTTTGAGGAGCTGAAGAGATACCAGAGGTCAAAGTACTTCTTTCCTCCCGAAGAAAAGATTCGAGAGTTTTGTCGCAATTTGTGGTGCCTATCAGAGCAAGAGTAAGTCTCGGTATACCTTAGTCTCTGATAATAGTTTTATTACAAGACACGACTTTTTCAATGTAAAGTGCAATTAAAATGTGCTAGGCTCCGGTTTTCCTTTTATTATAGGTATATAGTTGTGGTTTCCAAATGAACCAAGCCAAATTGGCAATATTTAGTGACACGGTCACGCTGCACACAAATGTAGAGTCGTTATAAACGTACACTAATTCTTGTCTATAAGCATTTCTGTGCTAATAGTATATATTGCGCCTCTTTCTCCTCCTCAGATTGTATGATACTTCACTGAGAGTGGAGCCACGAGAAGAGACTGACGTATGAGCGAGACACATTGGCTCTTAGTTTCACGTTCTCCTGTGTCTCTCTTCTCTTCCCTCACCTCCTCATTTTTGTTGCAATCAATGTGTGTGTTCATGCAATTTTTCATCATTATTATTTTTGTCAACTATTATTAATTTTTCTGCATCATTGTTCTAACTGTCAAAAATTATTTTTGTGCATGCTTTTAAGCCATATTATATTATTATTGGAAGAGTGCTCTGCACCTCTGCTTTATAGGGAACTGAGGTTGCTGGTTTGAGAGCAACTGTAAAAAGTTAGTGTGTCCTGCTATAGACCATTGAAGCTGGAAAAAGCGGTTGGCTGAGAAAAAAGTGGCTGCATGTGAGCTGAATTCAGAATGTATGGTCTACCAGCGCAAATGCCTTGTACCAACAACACTATGCACATACCTATGTAGTATAATAATGGTAATGTGAACGCTTCCTTACTAAAGTGTAGCTCTTATACACGGCAATGTGCGTGTGGGTAGCATAATAATAATTTAATGGCAGATTAATGGATCAACAAAGCTAATAGTGGAAGTTTTCTAGTCCCTACGTATGTGCACAGCAATGTACTACTTGTTGTATGTTGTGTGTGTTGGAAAGTATATTAACTAAGAATTGTGGACGGCAATCTGCAGCAACTTGCTAGTTCTGAGTCTCCTAGCCAGTCTAGTTTCATTGACGGCCGGTGCCTCCAGAGCGTGAATGACTGTAGACCAGTTGTAAGGAGCCGATAGCTTACTCCTCCACAGGTGAAACACAGAGCTGAATCGCTGAAGACTGTCAGCCGGAGTAGAGATTCCTATGGCGTTCAGATCAGACAGGCTGAGGTTCAGTTGGATCCCGACATCTCTCCACCGTGTAGGGATGTGAGACGCCACCTCGTTCATGAGCTCTGCAAGTTCTGGCTCAACGACATCTACCCCACTCCCACGCTGCAGTTCTGAAGAGATTAACACACTATGTTTAATTATTAACAGTGTCCCATTAACACCTTACGCATTGCTCGGTGGGGAAAATAGCGAAATAAATGTTGTTGCAGTAAAATGAATGATGAATTAAAAACAGTATAAAAATAATGTAATAATGTCGATAATTATGAAACGGTAAACTCAACTTGAGCAAACCCACATCTTTCACTCCGAGATGCATTATTCAGAACACGAATATCTCGCAGCAGAGATGCAGTTGTTTCAGTGGGAGTTAAGCTGTCTGGCTTCTTAGCAAATGCCATTACTTGAACAACTTCTTTGCCAGGAGGTTCTTGAATCTCAAACTCATCAAAGTACTGTCCAGGAAAGTGATAGACTTGGTTCGGCTGAAAAAAGTTGTCTTCCTCGCATTCACTGGGGAAAAGCATAGTTGTGTTGCCTGAGGTGCCGAGATTAAGGATGTAGAGATAGCAAGGAGAGTCTGTTGTTACTTCCAGCCGTACTCTAGTACCCCTGGGTACAGATGAGGCAGAAAACTTCTGAATACGGACAATGTCTCTAAGTAGAGGACCAGGGGGTTTCCCCCTTAATTAACTGATTCGTTGTGGAATTGAAAACCTTGCATGTGATTTTAATGGTTTGACGATTCTCATCGGAGGTCATGTCCTTTAATAGGCTATAGAGATCTTTAGGAGATTTGGGGACTTCTGAAGAGACTGCTGGGATAGGAGAAATGACGATAGGATGGTATGACTATAAAAATATTAATGATAGGAGTGACACAATTATGCTAGTGCACTGCCATTGACACATACAACTAGGTCACTGAAGTACACACACAAAAACCCGCTCACTCAAACATTGAATTCTGTGAATTTTCCGAGAGTACACACTCTTACAACAAAATTGAGGCATTAAAGGAAATTTCCGACTCAAACATTCGTGTGACTATATTATCCCCTAGGGGATTTTCGTCCAAACATTGAAAACCACAGTGTCACACAAGTGTAAAGTTCTATATGTGGGTTTGCATGAATCATTACTACCCTATCTGTTTTCAATTTGCCTATAATAATATACTCATAGCGTAGCCCTACAAGGCAAGGATAGTACATTGCAATACCTGTAGTTTGATCAAAGCTGTCATGACGGTGTACTTTCTTCTCAAGTGAGCTCTGTTTGGGTGGGAGGGTAGATTGCGCCGTGATGGTTTGCATTCTTTGCTCAAGTGCCGGGTCAAAACACACATTCTGTTGTGCTGTCACTCCCGTGTCTCTATCGGTGCAGGGTTCAGTGCGATGCAACCTCTGGTCTACCAGTAGTGTAGATGGGTGGTTGGGGGGAGAAGTTCTGTCCTCTGAGCCTTCCCTCGACATTGATGAATTTCTCGAGTCGAGTTTTTCGAGCACGAGTGAAACGACATCATTCCTTCCTATGGCCTTCAAGGCTTCAAATGCATCCTCAAGTGTTGCTGAAGGATCGTCCCCAATCTCCTTGTTAAGAATTGCTTTGGTTGGGGAAGCACTAGACTTAAACTGCCTCAGGGTCACGGTGTCCATGTTGAGTAACTTCTCCCCAAACTGTTCCCAGTTGGGCACACCTTCCACATTCCCGTCCAGTTGAGCTGCAAACACATCTCTGACACCCGGGCGAACGTCCATTAACCGCATCTTTAAATTCCCTGAAACAAGAAAACATTTTTAACTTTGTCACTTTAAACGGGTAGTGCGGAAGCAGCTTTCGAGTGCTGCTAATTAATGATTTATGTAATGCTTAATTGCCATCCATTTGCTAGTATGTAAATAATTATGTCATTAAGTGTACTGCTCATCCCGTTCTGGGAAGGTGGAGTTGCTGAAATTTACTGCAGCGGTGGAGAAGGTACACTCACCTGCTCTCCCATAATCTCTGCTCTCCTGACGTACCAGCTGAGGACGTCGCTCTTCTTGAGACCAACTCCCCTGTTTGACCAGCTTCTTGTGACTCCGAGCACGCTCCAGGATGCGATTGGCATCCTTGAATGTCTTCACTCCAAATCCATAGAGGTCATTCCTGTCCATGCTGGCCAAATCCCTCACAGTGATCTATGTGGAATTAACGACATCCAGCTCCTTCTAATTAGGTGATCAATATTCAATAGGCAAAGCTCCGGGTAATTATTCCACGGCTGCTGGGGCTAGTTTTGTATACCATATGCACCTTTTAATTTTAGGTGTATTTTCCTAAGGATCAGCTCTTTCCGTCATTGAGACACTGGAGAGAAGCTATATAGCCTCGTTAAAAAACAGGGGGGAGTGGAGCCGACATGGAAGTTTGGTATATCGAGTGTTCTGGCGCTAGCTATAATAATTATAGACCATAACAATTATGTAGGTGGGCTCATTTCAGTCCACCAATAAAGCCAGTTCATGGTCCAGAGCAAACGTAATAAAAGTCCGTGAGCACTAGGGGCTGTTCATCATTCAACCACAAAAAGTATGTAGCTATTTATAGCCTATATATCTATGTCAGATGTGTGTATGCTAAGTAAGATTTAGTTATCCCCCACTGCCAATTCATGTGTTGGTGTGTGTACATACATTTTCTCTGTTCATGTTGGTGATGATGTCATCAGGTGACTGTGATATTTCCAGTGAACCAAAAAATGAGGTCAGCTCATCATCCACAGAGTCCATTCTGGACATTATTATGCCTGCAGCAGTGAATGGTATAATAGCTGTCTGAGGTGGCGTTACTGATTTTTGGCCGTCGCAATGACATAGTATTAATAACGTGATATACCCTTCGGTCTGCATAGCATGGTATAATGTGTCCGTAACCTCTTTGTCTAGTACCGAGGCAACAGCAAAGCATTGCTACAAAGGCTTGATTTTGATTTTACTGAAGTGCATAATATTTCCTTCTCCTTCATTAGTAAACTGTTATATAGCTACAGGTATCTAGGACAATGGTGGTGCAATAGCTTGTGACTCGAAACAGGATGAGCTAGCTATGATCCACAGATCCGCTCTTCCCCAAAGTTGTCACTAAGAGACGTTTCTAATTGCTGTTCTGACTGAACGGTGATATGCCGGACCAATTTCCGACGCCCATTTTCCAGGCAAGAAAAAAATCAGCTACAGTAAGCGTCTCCGCAGGCCGATTATTGCTCGCATGCGCCATACCCGGCTCGGCCCCCCCATACACATAGATAGCTTAGTTAGCTAAATCAGTACTTACGCTGCTTGGCGACAATCCCGCCCTTGGACGCCGCGGAATTCTCTACCGATTCTCTAACTGACGTTGAATCACAAAATAACTCGAGCAGTGAGTGGTTGTTGTCGGTTGGTAACGCAGCCTGGGTAATCCCCAGGGGCAGTTTGGTAATGACGTCAATGACACGCTAGGCATGCGCACTAGATTACGCCCCTGGTCGGTCCGCCGCGCCGCACAGTCGCCGTGTGATCGATGGAGTACCTCACAGAGAGCCACAGCAGTCTAGCAGAGTCCCAACTAGGACTTATCAGAAGTCGGTTTAGTCAGTTGAATGAAACGGCTCGTGCGCAAGTGAAAAGCCCCGCAGTCTCCGGCGGAAAGAAGACATATCTTCATGGTAAGGTTTACGACGATAATTATTGTGGTTAGCTACTGTCCTCTGGCGACTAATCTCGTGAACCTGCCGTCCGTCCAGAGGCTTCTCTGCACGTAGGAATTTTCATTACGTAATTGCTACCGTCTCAGGGTAAAACCCAGGGGACCACCCAGTTTAGAAGCAGACATATACACATGTTGGCCTACAGGAAGCATTGTCCACCTAGCTTTAGAATGTCATACATAATGTTGATTGTTAATGATGATCTAACCACTCTCTTACAGTTGAATTGATGGAGAAGGTGAAAGAGCTAAAGATGTTGAATCTGTTTGCTGCACAGCTGCTGTGTGAGCAGTTTCATCACGACTCAACTCTTAAACCCTCTCCTTTGCAGGTAGTGTACTATTGGTAGCATGTTATTTTACAAACACAGATCGATATTATTGTTAAAGGAGTGTGAGGTCTTATTGGAACTCGCTGAAGTTCGACTCTCTATTGGACCGCTCTCCTCTGCCCTTCAGTTGGCACAGGATCTCCTCAAAATGAGTCAGACACATTGCCTAGGTGAGCTAAACGATGTACATAGCATATAACTCATTCAGCAATAGCCTATGCAGCAACTAACTTTCTTAACATTTTAGCCTTTTAGTGGTTTGGTGGGACTGGTTTATACGTGCTAATCCTGCTATATAGCACGAGAGTTTTTGCTGTTAATTTAACCGGCATGCTCGGTACATGAACACTTACTTGCAGTCTATTAGTAGCAACTTTATTTAGCGATATTTTCACTAAAATATAGTTGCTGGAACTAGTTTCAAATTTCAAACTTGCAGGTATGGAGTTCAATATTGAGCTTCTTTTAGGACATGCCTTTCGAGCCACAGGAAAGTTTGGCGAGGCTTGTGAGCATTATAAGAAAGCTGAGTTTCGCACGAGCCTCTCTCCATGTGAAGACAGCAAGATCCTTGCTTTCATCTACCAACAAATCTGTACCTATGAAATGGGAAAGAACACAGAGGCTCTGTCCAAGTTGAGTCCGCTGGTCAGTAATCCTTCGCTTAGCAATTTCACCGAAGGCTTGCTGAATGAGGCACTCGGCAGCATCTATCGCTCCATAGCCAACTGGCACAGTGCTGTCCAGTTCTTCGAAGAGTCCATTCGTTTGGCCGATGAAGCAGGGGATAAGGTGCGTGTGGCAGAGAGAAGAGCACTGCTTGGTAGAGTTTATCGTTCGTCAGGCCAGTATCAACGAGCTCTTGAACTCCAGGAGCAATTTTACGAGTTTGCCTTGTCCCGAGGAGACAAATCCTCCCTGGCTTCAGCTTGTGGGTTCATTGGTTTCACAAACTACTCTTTAACTCAACCTGATTATGACAAGGCCGTCACTTTTCTCGCAACACGCCTGCATCTTTCAACAGAGCTTGAAGACAGGCAGGGGTTCAGATGGTGCCTCAATAACATTGGAAAGTGCTACTTGGACCTTAAACGCCCCGAAATATCTCTCGAGCTCTTTAGGGTCTCTGCTGAGATTGCCAAGGAGTTGAATAGCCTGTTAGGCGAGGGCACGGCTTACGGGAACATGGGTACAGCATTTCGGGCCTTGAAGAGACACAGAGATGCCGTCACGTATCATTTACTCTATGCAGAGAATGCAGAGAAGCGACTAGACACTGGAGGAATGGCCATAATGCAAAATGAACTTGCTCTTGACTACCTGCTGGTCGGGGATCTCGACAGTGCTCGGAAATATTGTCTTCTTGCTCTGAAAACCGGGCTAGAAATTCGAGCCAGGCTTTCCCAGGAGGACGACGTCCTTAAGATTTCCAACTTTGACAAAAACCAGGCTAAAGCGTACGCCATGCTCCAGTGTATTCTTGTAAGGCAAGGTCTTATCGAGGCCAGTCTCCTTGTGTCTGAAATGGGAAGGGCCCGAGCACTGGCCGACCTTGTAAAAAGGGGCTCCAAGGCATCTTCTAGTTTCCTTGAGAAAATTGACCAGATTGTGGACGAGGAGGGAAACATCTCGCCCGAGGCAGTGGCAGAGGCAATGAGAGAGGTTGGCCTGCTCGTCAGGAGGCTAAAGTCTAATCTTGTAGTTTATTCACTAGTGGAAAGCCCTGCAGATGAAAAGGTTAGAGAAACAAACCTTTATACGTGGCTTGTGCAATGCCGGAATGACGACGACCGGGTTGAGGTTACCTTCAGAAGTGTTGTTCTTGGCGAAGTTGAGGCAGCGAAAAGTTCTTTCGTGCTTAACGAGAGTTACTACAGTAACCTCGTGAGAGAAGTCGGAGTAGAGGGAAGTAATTTTGCCTCTCTTGAACATCAGAGTCTCCATGAGGTATCTCTCACTGCGACAGATAAATCGTCAAATGATCGTAGTGGTCCAGAGTCAGATGGAGCCACAAGAGATATTAAACGAAGGAAGAAAAAAGTAGCTGATGCCAGGGAAGACAAGCTTACTCAACTCTACAACCTCCTGGTATCACCAATAGAAGCTCATATTGCTAGGGAGAGTGAAGTGGATGTACCTCGAGTAACTTTAATTCCTCAGGGCCACCTCTTCAACGTCCCATTTCCAGCTTTGAAAGGCCCCAGAGGCTACATGATACAACAGTTTGTCATCTCTCTCTCTCCCTCTATGTACCTTCTTCATCTCGCCTCGGGCAAGGGGGTAACCTCTCCTTTCGCTCAACCAGATAGTATTAAAGCTCTGATCGTGGGAGACCCAAAGATGCCACTGGAATCTATTTCCCAGCTGCCTGGGGCACAAACCGAGGCCGACACTATTCACTCCATCATTGGAGGTAAGCTCCTCTGTGGTGCCATTGCAAGCAAAGCCGCAGTCATAGCCCATCTTCCCTCCCACAATGTAATACACCTCGCAACGCACGCGATTCTCGGGAACTCAGTTTCCGAGTTAGATTCTTCTGATGCACACAGAGACGGCGACTACTCGATAAAGGGAGCCGTTGTACTGGCAAAATCAGACGCATCATGTAGTGGAATACTCACGTCAACTGAGATTCAGAAGCTACCGCTTAGTAGCGAGCTCGTGGTTCTTAGCTGCTGTCGTACTGGGCGTGGGAAGGTGACGGGCGACGGAATATTGGGTCTCTCGCGTTCAATCATCAGTGCAGGAGCGGACAGTCTTATAGTGACCCTGTGGGCCATTCACGACGACTCTTCCCCGATATTAATGGAGCGATTCTACCGACAGTACAAGGAGAGTAGAGACGGTCCCTCTGCCCTCCGTGAAGCAACACTCCATCTTATCAAGACTGGATACGGTCCAGGTCACTGGGGGGCATTCTGTTTTCTTGGTGTCTCTCCAGCCATCAAACCCGTAAACGCTACCCACTAATGTTTAGTATATATATTATGCATACATAATTTGATGGAAACATTTTACTAATCGTTATGTCACTTCAGGTATAATATTATATAAAGTCACAGATGCACAATCACACTAACTAAGCCAAACTAATTTGTTTTAGCTACACACATAGTTTTGTTGCATTATATTACTCGAAAAACTTTCAGGGGGAGAAACTAGCTCACCCCGCGCAATTAAGTTACGTAACGGTTACTTTAGCGCATGCGCAGTCACTCGTTAGCGCGCAGGGGAGATGGCGGTTTTACTGTCTTGTTTGCTGCTCACCTTTAGCCTTATCCTCCATCCCTCCCTCGGTACACCCATAGTCTCGCCTCCCACCGTTCTCTACGGGCTGCCTGGACAATGTTCGGCCGTGGCAAACTCGTCCACCACCGACGAGGACCTTCGGTCTCTCCTCCGAGACGTAGTCATACCTTCCCTCGCGGGCCGTAGGTGCTCCCGTCCGGGATTTTGCGCCAGCTACCCCGCCGAGTCCTGCAAGGGCATCGCGCAAGAGACGCCGGACGCTCCGTCCGGAGACTACTGGATCCGCACGTGCTCCGGGTCCGTGGTGGGAGTCTACTGCGACATGACGGCAGATCGCTGCTGCAGAAACAGCAGCGGTGCAGCGGCTCGGGGATGGATGCGCGTGGCCAATCTCAACATGACGGACCCGACGCACGTCTGCCCGGCGGGAATGTTCCTTGGTGCGGACGCCAGAAAACGCCTCTGTCGACGGAAGGTTGCTGCGGGTTGCAAGTCCGTATTCTTCCCCACCTACCACCTTCCATACAGCAGGGTCTGCGGTAGAGTGATAGGGTACCAAGATGGCTCTGCCGATGCCTTCTGGCAGTACCAGCAAGATAACTCAATAACTCTCGATGATGATTTCCTGGACGGGCTCACCATATCTGTTGGCTACCCTCGTACCCACATCTGGTCTTTTGCTGCATCACAGACAGAAGGTGGGGAGGGTGGCGACACCATCTATTCCTGCCCCTGTGCCCGAACGGACGTACCAACTAATGGGGTCGTCCCTCCATTTGTGGAGGACAATTACTTCTGTGAGGCGGGTCTAGAAAACATGTGGGCGTCAAACGGCGTCCTATACGTCGACGATCCTCTCTGGGACGGAGAAAACTGCCCGCCAAACAGCTCTTGTTGCCAACTTAACAACCCTCCCTGGTTCTGTAGGGACCTCGGAAGAGAGTTCAGAAACGACTTTGAAGTTCGGCTATGTGGGGACGAGGATCGCGGAAACGAAGACATTGCCTTGGAGATCATTGAACTCTATGTTCAGTAGAGTTCAGCAGCTGATATCTCACAATGACTCTTTATAGATTTCTGTCGCAGCAGGAGCATAATGAATTTGTATTATTATACGTGGTGTTTTGTATTTTGTGACGGTGCTATAGTTTCACACCAAACTTTGGTGAAAGTTTCTTCAAACTGTTTCTCTTGGAGTCAGTGCTGCAACAAGTCACCAGGTCTGTAAACAGGCCCTGCAGATCTAAGACAGGAAGTCAGGAAGAGAGAGTTTTCATAGCCAGGAGAATTGAGACATGCCAGGCTCCAGATGTAGTGAAATTCTACCACACCCAACCTCAGTTTTCATAGAGCAACAGTGTGTAAATTAATGTAGTTTCCCTATGGCTTCCTCCCAAACTGGAGGGTACATAGTACATACAGGGCTTGACCAAAGCCTAGGTTAAATCTCTAGGTACACACTTTTATGTCTTTTAGGTCATAGACATTAGAAGGAATATGACAGTCAATTTAGATGGCTAAATAATAAATTGGAACTAAACAATAGGGCATGGCACAGAATGCAATCAAGTTTCCAAAGTTAGCCCTTATACTGCCACATTAATTATGTTTTAAACTTGGGGACAGAGAGAGTTTGGGGGTTTAGCACACACGTTTCACGGCTTTAAATATATGTCTCTGAAGATGGCTCACTGTTTTTATCGGTCTTTGAGAGGAACATGACAGCCACTGAGAATCTCTGCACTCTCGTGAGCCAAGTCAGCTCCTCCACACATCCAGGAGTGGCCCTGCATAGGACAACATTGCAGGAGTATATGAACAGCTAGGAGGGAAACCACTAATAAGGCTAGAATATGGTGGGCACAAGCAAGCCCCACTGATTTTCTGGCACTCTAAATGTCCCATTGGTGTTTGCTTGGCGATATTCCTCGTTATAGTGGACATATAATCGTAATAGGTAGGGTGTTCACCTGAGGATGGAGATGATGTCAGAGAAGATGGTGGTCTCCAGCGACTGCTGCAGCAGGACTGGATACCTGGCTGGAGGCAGTTGCTAATGCAGAGACACATAGATACACACCTGCAGCTATCATCCCAAATGTGTTGACTTTGTGGAATTAGAGTTCATAATGGTGTGTTAGGGACCACTCAACACTTACCTAAACAAAGTATTATCAGAGGCAAATGTGTGCCAAAAATTTTAATTATGAAGATGCAGTACTCTATGCAGTGTGCTCATAATGGTTCAGTCCATAAGTATGTAGCACACAAGTAAAAGGCAAAGCACTACACGTATATGTGTCTATCATTACCAACACCCAAAGAGTTTGCCTAATTTTTGGTATTTACAAGTTGTGCATACAGACTTGATGTGTTCACAGAGCAGTACAAAAAATTACATTAGTCTGCAAATTATTAACGTTAACCAGATCTCTCAAACACACTGTGTAAGCTAGCTAGTCACCTTGAAGTAGGATATGAGGAGAGGCCAGTTGTGTTTCAGTCTTTTCCAGTCTGACTGGAACTGGAAGGTTGTCTCTGGCACCGGAGGGAGCTCATCATCACCACCAACATCACCACCTCCTCCAACTGCACTCTGAGACCTGTGATCATCGCCATCAGTTGGAGCAGAAGTCGAGTCAACCATGACTCTGTCTCCACCAGTTTCACCAGCAATCTTCGTGGGACTGGGTATAGGGTGAGTGGTGGAAGTACTGTCAGTTTCAGCAATGTAAGACATGCTAGTCTGAACACTGGTAGATGTGTGGGTCTCTTGAGCACTGGTAGATGTATTCGTCTGTTGAGCACTGGTAGATGTATTAGTCTGTTGAGCACTGCCAATACTACTAGCAATAGTGCTATTCTGAGAGCCAGTGGTGATGTCATCAGAAGTGGCAGAGTGGCCTCCCAGTCTGGCATCTTCGCTAGTGTTTGTGCATGTCTGTGTTGACGACCCAGTTGAGCCAATGGGTGTGGCAGCAATAGTTCCAGCTATGTCACTGATTGCTATTCTCTTCAGCGGTTTCTGAAAGATAAAATGACAAGAATGAAACAGGTGTGAGAATGACATAGCTAGTATATATATACCTTAGATCTCTGATGAGCTGGTCTCTTCCCAGGGAAGACGTGACCTTCTGCCGTCAACCTCTTTCGGTCCTCCTCCTACACAACACATTTCTTTCGATTAAGCAAAAGAAGGAGAGTAAAAGGTAGTGCTCTAACCTCTTTCAATCGTTTCGCAATCTGTAGCTCGGCTCCTGCTTGCTTGTTCTTTGGCTCCAACTTTAGAACTTGCTCAAAATCTAACACGACAAAGGTGAAAGAAAGTAGGGAGTTAGGTTTTGTTATAACATCCATCGCGCAAAAGCAACACTTTCAACTCGGAAATAATTATAAAGATGCCTCACTATAAAAGGGACCCTTTCGTTGGTCCCATTGGCCATTGGTGTACTGATTATAGGGGCCCCACTATTATACTCAATGCATTTAGCTACAATACAGTGAAACCTCTGAATAAGGTACACCTTAGGGACACTGAAAGTGTCCTTTATTCAGAGCGTCCTTTATTTGAATGCACTAATCTAAGTATGGGGCAGAACACAGTGTCCTTTATAGAGAGTACTTTATTCAGAGCGTCCTTTATTCGAGATTAGAGGTTGCCTTCATTCAGAGAGTCATGCACTAATCTATAAGTATGGGGCAGAACCACAGTGTCCTTTATAGAGAGTACTTTATTCAGAGCGTCCTTTATTCGAATGCACTAATCTAGAAGCATGGGGCAGAACCACAGTGTCCTTTATAGAGAGTACTTTATGCAGAGGGTCCTGGGGTTCCAATGTATTCACCATGTACAGCCTGTGTGAGTTTTCCAAGATGTCTCCTGGCCACGCCCCTCCTGAGGAATGCCTTCACATAGTCATCTTCCAGAGCCAGAGCTGTGTTACAGTCTCCCTCCACCGCTGCATACCTGAGATTGTGTGTGTCTGTAACTAGCGCATTTTTGGCTAGCGAATCAATTTTTCACGCATCATGTAAATATTACGGTTGGTCTGTTCACCATTACAGATAATTATAGTCTGCATAGAGGCCTAGGTGGGATCGCTTCGCTGGCCAATTAGTTGGCCAGTGATGGAAAAAGACCAACATTAGGCTCTTAATCTAATAAGCTCAACCACTGCTTAAAGAGTGACTGTACAGATGGTGCAGCAGAGTATAAGAGCTAAATTTAGAAAATGGTATATATAATTATACTGAAAACAGAGCTTAACTGAATTCTTGCCCTGGCCCATATTCTATTTTTAGTAACATTTCTAAATTTAGCCCTTACGTAATGCCACATTTTGTTTGCTACTATGGATGAAGAATAAAACCAACCTCTCTAGTTTGAGGAGAGCAAGGGCCCTGTTAGCAGGCAGGGCAGCTGATAGCGGATCCAGCATCATTCCCTTACTATAGCACTCCACAGCTGCCTCAAACTCTCCCTCTTTGTACAGTACATTTCCCTACATAGCATAATTATATGTGTCACACAACAAAATAAAAAGAACCCTGGAGTATAGAGATCATAGACATTACAGATTTCAAGTACCAATTCTTCACTGCACAAGGACGAGCAAAGACAGAGCAACTCAGGGTGCCTGTTTTCAGGTTAATAGATCATTGATCAACATAATGTGATTAGTAACTGCCATGTATAATACTGCATGCCTCACTCTGTAGAGGAGATGTAATTGCATGCCTTGTGAAGAAACAAGTGTGTACCTTTTCCTTCTCAGCCAGAGCCATTGCACTCTGTCTCTCCATCTCTTCCTCCTCAGAGCTGCCACTCCCTCCTCCGTCGTCCCCTCTTCCCCCCTTCCCCACTACCTCCTCCTCCCCCTCCTCTTCCTCTACCTCACTCCCAGATGAGCTCCCAACCTTATAGTCCACATCCTCACAAGCTTTCTCCTATAATAATTACATAAACAAGTTTCAGAGAGCAAAAAAATTTTGCTGAGCCTATGCATTTTAATTAATGCTTCCCCCTCTAAAAATTCCTACCTCAGATTATAATATGCTAGCAGAGAGTGTATGTATAGGCGCATGTTGACAGGAGAGCTAACCACGTCAAATTTGTCCCAAGCTTTGTAATCGTAAGAGTGGATACGACTGGCTGGCTTCACTGGCTCTCTCTTCTTCTGCTTCTTCTTCTTCTTGGGTTTTCTTGACTCTTTCACTGAACTTCGAACTGGAGGGAGATTCTGTGGACAAATAATACGGTGAGGATAGATAGTTACCGCTAATGGTGAACCTCTTTCAGGATGGAGCGGTTCTTGACCAAAGTCTGGTCTTTCTCTCTCATCTCCTCCTCCCAGCTCTCCAGGCCTTTCAGGTAATCCAACAGCTCCTCGTTATTCTGCCGTAGCTGGCTCTGCATTGGTCCCGCCGAGTCCATCTCACGCCGCTGCTCGCACGAAGTACTACAGTGGTGCGCTTTTATAAGATTCACACACGCTGTACTACACTAGTCAGCACCAGCCCCTCCCCTTTCGTTGAAAATTACGCGCATGCTCGGTTGTTGTTCGGTTTCGCGGCGGCCGCATAAAAACTTAGCCCTCTGACGCTTTTCTCCATTCTACTACTTGCAGTTTTCAAGTCAGTGAGGGCATGACAAAAATCCTCATAACTGCGGGGGCTCTACTCCTGCTTACCGCGGTCTCGCTGGCCGACATACTTCCGTCCCAGTGCAGATATCGCGAAATTTGCGAGGAGATTGTCAACGGCGTCAGCAACGATCAGATTGAGTTCAAGCAGCGAGACCCTCCGTGTCCGCTGCTCAACTGCCCTCTCGCAGAGCCGCCCCTATCCCGCCTCGATCTCTGCTACAGGCTAACGTCAAAGCACAATGCCCACGCGGCCTCGTTCATCGGTGGCACCGTCATATATGCCTGGAACTGTTTGGCGGCTCTCACCTCACCTCAGCCGTACGGACCGGCAGACTGGAGCAAGTGGGCCGGGAAACACTGCGGGACGTGGAGGAGCGTCGACGGATCGGGAACCGTCACGCAAACGTTTACGGATAATGCGCTGTGGCAGGCTCCGACGACGTATTCGACACCGTGGGACACCTTTCACTTGCAGCGCGCGGTGTTCGAAAGGCCCGGAACTTGCTGTGACGACGGCTGGAACGAGTCTGGAGGGGGTGTAAGATAATTAATCGTAAATCTGATTTCCTCATTATTATGACTGACGTTTTCTTTTACTCTACTGACTCCATCCATTGCAGCTCTCTGTGGCGTGGGGATGGGACCCTAAAGACAGCGCCGACCACGGAGGCTACCAGGGTAGCTGTGCCGCATACTCCTTCACAAAGGGCTCTGCCTCGTGCCTGATATGGATCACGGGCCAAGAGGCTTTCCTGGAGTGTGTGGCCACCGGGTCGTGGGGTCGACGCAGGACAAGTGTTGGATTCTGGGGATTCGGTCTCTGGACTATCTATCCACTCTCACCTCTCAGTTTCTGCCCCATCGAAGAAGAACAAGTTCTGAGTACCCCAGCTAGATTGGGTGGCAAATGAGCAAATTAATTGATTTCTACACTGAACTTTGTATATACTTTTGTAGCTATAGGTGATTATCCAATCAAGGAAAATTATTATTTTCAGTCACCACTACATTATCGCCCATATCAAGCACAGCTGAATAAGTTGTCCTTGTTATACTCTTGGTGTTAAGTCCCTGGCTAACCCTTACTTTAATCTGATCATTATTTTGTAACACAAATTGGGATTTTTCGAGTGAAACCGATTGTGCCTTGTGTGTTTGCACAGACTATAATAATACAGTGGTACCTCCGAACAAGGGACACTATGGGGCCAACCATTTTGTCCCTTGTATATATATAGATGGGTCATCCCTATCTCGGAGGTAAAAATACAATATAGTGTTAGCATGAGGTTGAAGTGTCCCTATCTCAGAGGGTTCCTTATCGGAGGTTCCACTGTGTGTGGGCGCAAAGGAAGTGGATCCCACATATGGATGCCTTGAAAACAGTCCAAGGACATCTAGTTGCGTGACCATGGAAACGGCAACATCAGCAGCAGTCATCTTATTTGTAAGGCTTTAACACATAGAAAGTTGATGTCACTGCTTCCTTCGCTAATAATTAATTATTGTAACACTGATTAACACCTTCCTAAGGCCTCTCTCCATGGTATTTCACAACACACTTTGTGAGGAAGTTACCCTAGGTTTTACCCACATTCCACATCACTATAGCTAAGATGACTGCAGCTGATATATCTAGCCATTTCCATAATTATTTTGCAGGACCAGTGTCCCTTTTCCGACTGTAGCTATTATTATGCCACACAATTGAAGTGCAAACCCTCGGCGAACTGCGCATGCGCGATACTGCTAATTGATGGGCTGGGCTATTCATGCGCCTCGCTACTCTAGTAGCTCGCGGAGTCTGACACGGGTTAGTTACAGTAGTAGATTGCATGCGGGAGTCGATACATGCCATCCGTTTTGACTTCCTGAGCCCCCACGGTACGGTAACCCCAGTGCTAATATGCATATTGGACGGCTTATCTCTCGAACGCAGTCGTTTCAGGAAAATCGCCCTTTTATTTTCAGGCTCGCGTAGTTCGGAAGCCGCTGGTATCGCTAATAGGCCGCCTCGTAGCCTGTAGTGCCAGAATAAGCGTCGACACACAGACACGTCACAGACAAACCAACTACCTAACCCTCGCTGCGCATGCGCGCCGAGGGTTAATAAAAGGAGGATCGCATTTGTAACAAGACAAGCAGCTAGCAAAAATCCCAACTCTTGCCCAAACTCCTCCAACTGCTCAGTACTCTACAAGTAATGCTGTCCTCGTCCAGTGGCATGTTGGGAGTGCTCATCCTGTCCCTAGTAGGACTTTGTTCAGGAGACATCTGACAAACGAGACCTCTCATGGGTTTCAAAGGGGGTGCACGCTGGACTAGCTACATCTGGTGTTGTCATCACAACATGTGTAAACATCTAGAGCTTCAAATTTTACTCTCTCCTCCTTGCAATCCTGGCAACTGGTTGACGCCCATTCCTATGATGAGGTTCAGAAAAAACCCACACCCTAGGCTCCACTATCCACCACCAACGCCCCCTCTTCATAAAACAAGGGGCGTACGTAGCACCGTGGCACCAGCATAATCGCCGCCATATGAATCCCTTACGCCCCCTGCATGAATCATTACAGCTGGGGTTGCAAACCTCAAAACACACAAGAACCTCTTTTCCTATTAAAAGAGGACCGCATTTGTAACAAGACAAGCAGTTTGCAATAATCCAAACTCTCATCAAGTGTTCAGTGCTCTACAAGTAATGCTGTCCTCGTCCAGTGGCATGTTGGGAGTGCTCATCCTGTCCCTAGTAGGACTATGTTCGGGAGACATCTACCCTGGAGATGCTGGCTTTCAGAACATCTGCCAGGAGATCATCAGCAACGTGGCGGCTGACTCAGTTCCATTCAGAGATCTGGTCACGGTGTGCAGTGGATGGTGGGGCTGTGTCTCCACGCTACAGGTGAGGGAAACACTGACCAAGAGAGCCATCTGCAGGAGACTGCGGAGACGGCACACTCGAAGTAACGAGGCCTATTTGGGAGGGGCAGGGGTGATGCTGAGGGAGTGCAGGGGTGCATTTGATTCTCCGGTGTCTTACGGCATAGCTGAGTGGAACAAGTGGTATGGAAGACACTGTGGGTCATGGAGAAATGTGGACACTAACACTGGTGCAGTCACGCAGACCTTCCCTGATCACTCCCTGCGGAGTACCGCTGTTCCAGCTGCCAGCCTTGGGTTCTACAGACAGGATGTGACATTCTATCGACCTGGCACCTGCTGTAATAATGCCTGGACTGAGTCTGGGGGAACGGTAAGTGTCTCACATACTCTATCTATGGCCATAGAAACGGCTGATTTACTAGCCCATCACTCTGCAGGAAGTTGTGGTGTGGGGTTGGGACCCCAAGGACTCTACAAATCACTTTGGCTACCAGGGAGCAATTGTGGGCTGGCCCTTCACATCAGGCTCAGGCGCAGACTGTATAGTGTGGCTGACGGGTGAAGAGGCATTCCTGGAGTGCATCAAGACTGTGGGCTCTACCAAGAAGAGGACCAGTGCTGGGTTCTGGGGTTATGGCCAGTGGATCGTCCAGACCAGCACTCAGCTCTGTGTGGTATCTCAGCTGCCGACAGAGTGACGTGGACGAATCAATGAAACTTGAGCTCTAAGATACTGACATTTGTTTTTCTTTGACTTTTTTCACACTGCAGCATGTAGGCTGAGATAATAATAATTATTGCTTAGTTTTCGATCATGACAAAAGGTTTCGTTCACAATGCCAAATTAATGTGCAGTGTTTGCAACAATAATCAATCTATGTTACATGTAGCTAGCATCTGGTGCGGTGGACGCATGCCAGTGTAAGTATGGATAAGGTAAAAGGCTTTCTGATTCATTCTGTTGCTCCCCTCGAGGCCGTCGGGAGATATCCCACTGCTGACAAACGAGACCTCTCATGGGTTTCACATCCGGTGTTGCCATCACATCATGTGTAAACATCTAGAGCTTAAATTTTTACTCTCTCCTCCTTGCAATGCTGGCAACTGACTGATGCCCACTTCCTATGATGAGGCTCAGATAAGCTTCACTATCCACCCACGCCCCCTCCCATGTCAAGGGGCATATATACGTACGTAGCCGCGTGACGCCAGCGCCGTGCATGGTGGTTGGCAGCGGGCATGCGCTACTAATTCAGCATCTGGGCAATACGGCTTCGGCGGTAATGTTGCGGAGCAAAAACAGTGCCTACTACAGGAGATAGAACGCGCATCATGGGTTCTTCACTACTCTGCGCGGCTGTTCTTACAGGAGCATTGTTTTTGACCGTTTTCAACCCGACAACAGCCGATGTATGGCCTGGTAGAAATACCTTTGATGAGATTTGTCTGGAGATCATCAACGATGCTGCATCCAACCATATTCCGTTCAGAAGGCTTGTCAAGACTTGCTCAAGCTGGTGGTGGTGGCATGGCTGCAGTAACCAGCTCCAAATCCACGAGACAGTCTCGCGATTCAGCTTGTGTGACCGACTAGTGCGGCAACATAACACACACAACCAGGCATTTTTAGGTTGGACAAGTCTCGCTACATTTCAGTGTGAAGCTGCATTCAGTTCACCGGCACGCTATGGCCAAGCTGAGTGGAACAATTGGTCTGGGCGACACTGTGGTACTTGGACGAGCACTGTTGGAGGTGGTGAGAGCTTTAACGATGAGGCCTATTGGTCCACTGCTGTTCCAGCAGCAAACTTTGGGTTTTACCGACAAGACGTAACATTTGATAGATCCGGAACATGCTGTGATGATGCCTGGAATGAATCCGGAGGAAACGTGAGTCGATAGCAGCGGTGCAGAGCATAATATTATAATCATATAAACCATGTGTTTTTTACTTTAGGAGGTGGTGGTTTGGGGGTGGGATCCCAAGGAGGCTACTAACCACTTTGGCTACCAGGGCTGTCACGTGGGTTATCCCTTCAACGCAGGAGGTGCAGACTGTATAGTGTGGCTGACGGGTGAAGAGGCATTCCTGGAGTGTGTCAAGACTGTGGGCTCTACCAAGAGGAGGACCAGTGCTGGGTTCTCGGGTTACGGTCAGTGGACCCTCCAATCACGGTCCGTTCCATGCTGATTGGCCACACAGTTTTCATCAGTTACCTAACTGGCTAGCTAGTGACTAATTCTTCGTGACTCTAAAGTTGCAAATGGACATTATGTACGTACATAGCTAAACAAGTCTTGCAAGATGTGGATAATGCTAGTGCTGATTCTAGCCATAAGAGTAAAAAAAGTGTCCCACAGCAGGTGGTTCCTTTTTGACTCACCGCATCAATTACTCCAGCAGATGTCCACTCCTGTGATGCATAGAGCTGAGCGCCACACGACTACCACAGTACTGATTTGCGGGCGAACCGCACTGCACTCATTCGCGCGCATGCGCGTGGGTTCCACATAATTGTGGTAGCCGACGACACGTGCCAATGAACGCGCGCAACTGCTCGCTGAATGCGCTTTGGATCGTCGGTGTGTTTATGGCTATAAACAGTGTAGGCAGTATATTAGGTCATGCAAGAAGGGTTGCTCTCCTGGTGTACTCTCCATGGCGGCAAATTGATAGACCGTTGTACGTCTTTATCGCATCCTCTAGAGCTATTCAACTTCTACCCGCATGCTGTCCGTGGGCAGGTGTGGGTGGAAGCAGACCGGAGAGGAAACACAAAATGTGACCACATCCCAACGCAGGAAAGGAGAGCAGTATAATTATGCGCAGTCACAAACGCCGCCGGCGCTGCTTATAAAAGACTGGCTGGATCTAGCTATTCACATCGCTGCAGAGCACAAAACCATCATGGCCTTCGTCATCCCTCTCCATCGGTGTGGTGGGGATAGTGGTTTTCTCCGTTCTTGGGGTTTGCTGGGCGGATTACTGGCCAGGAGACACCGAGTTTCAGACCATCTGCCGCACCATAATCGATGAAGTCAACTCGAACCAGATACGCCGCAGAGGGCGGGAGTTCATAAACGGGAGATACGAAATCGTGGTGCACGAAACGATGACCCAGCGACAGCTCTGCGACCGTTTGGTGATCCAGCACAACACACACAACTACGATTACCTCGGTATCGTCTCCTCCGACGAGTGCTTCGGCGCTCTAAACTCGCCCGACTTTTACTCATCGGCGAGTTGGAACAACTGGCGCGGCAGGCACTGTGGCCACTGGCGGTCCACAGGGAACGGAGTAGTCGGGTCCCCGGAACGCGACGACGCGCTCTGGGAGTACGCTCATCTATCGTACGGTGTCTATTACCGACAGAACGTTGACTTTTTCCAAAGGCCACCATGCTGCCAAGACGGTTGGAACGAGTCAGGAGGCACCGTGAGTACATGTAGCGAGTCACGGAGCGTCATTGGCGAGCCTACCTATAGCTAGTCGTCTGAATGGCTGGGATTTTGTGGGCACTGCGCATTACCATGCTCGCGCTCGCTCGTTTAAAATGTGTGGCATTCCTTTTTTACAGGAGGTTGTGGTGTGGGGATGGGATCCAAAGGAGGCTGTTGACCACTTCGGCTGGCAGGGAGCTCACGTGGGCTGGCCTTTCAGGTCAACCTTAGCTGGAGCGGACTGTATAGTGTGGCTGACGGGTGAGGAGGCATTCTTGGAGTGTATCAAGACTGTGGGTTCTACCAGGAGGAGGACCAGTGCTGGGCTGTGGGGATTCGGTCAGTGGATTGTCCAGACCAGCAACACTCAGTTCTGTCCGTCAGGGAAGGCAGACTTGAGACCTGGACTACACCTTGCACCAAATAACTTGCCATTTGACTCTGGAGTGGCTATTCCCTAGTGAAACTGCACAAATTTTGGTGCCAGTAATAATCATGATGAAATTTTGATATTTTGTGTCTAAGCCACGTGTTCACCCTGAATGCACAGAGTCAAGCTATTACCCGCCAGGAAGTAATTACTAGTTTACGATAACTAACAGCGAGGCACACACCGCACACGCATGCCCAGGCGGCCACCCTACACACCCTCTGCGCGTGCGGGGGGGTGCGGACTTCCTTCACGCAACTGCAGGGCGAAAAATTTAGATTGGCATGATGGTGGAGCGGGTGTGGTGGAAGACGCTCTTGATCCTAGTCATTTCTCTTTCTACGTGTTGCGGAGCAATCACTACATCATCAAGCGAGAATGAATGCAGCCCTACCACAGGTGTGTGTAACCAAAGTAGTGAGTGTATAAAAGCTAAACTATTACTGTTTTTCGTACGCTATAAAGTCGGCGATGCTCTACAACCGGAGATGACAGTTGACCAGGATTCAGAGTACCCATCTGGGTTTTTCCTTTCCGAAGACCCAATTCCTTTCGACGGAACAGTCGTTCACGTCACTGCCAGTGGATACTGTGCACTAGGGATGGACCAGCCCGCGTTGATTCTCGTTGTTGCCCAGCCCACACAACTAATAGATTTGAAAATGTACCTGCCGTCGTGTGATAAGACTTCTACTTAACTTCAAACGTGACTGTTGGCACAGTTAATCAAGCTGTAAGGATAGCCGTCTCAGCTGGGGATTATCTTGGTATACCGTTCAATTCTGAATGTGTAAGCAGACCGTTTAAAATCTGCACATTTTGGCCAGCTACTAATTCTGAGAGTAAAGATTTTTCTATCTCAATAACAGTATAACGAACAATGAATTTTCTTTGCCGAAACCTAGTTCCATTGCAACTATGCCAACAATTGGCCTATATTTCTCGTTCATCATTGAGAGCGGTGAGTCAGTGTATAAAAATGTCTCTACACGTAATATAATTGGAAAACCATGCTTTGCACAGAAGAGTGCAGAGGGCCTGAAGACCGATCGCAGCTTATACAAATTTTTGTTACCAGTTTTCCTCACCACAACCTTACTGCTATTTCTCATCATCGTGGCGTGGCTGCTGCATAAATACTACAGAAAAAGAAGGAAAAATCAGCTGGGACTCAGCTTCACAAACTGTTTTTCATCTGTTTCAAATGGAAATGAGGTTTGACTTATAATAAGTTGCCAAAACTCGTAGCTAATGCTGTTTTTATTAATAACAGATGTCGGAAAATGATTATCGTTCGACAGAAGCGGCAGAAATCGATATCCAGCAAAAGTCCTTGACAACATCTGATGATAATATATGGTATATATTAGTTGGCAATAGGCACAGAACACCTTAGTGACTGTGTACGACATTTTTCGCTTAAAACAAGGATGTTTTATATAACGAAAGAGGAAATGTAGCTACATAACATTATTAGAATGTCCTGCTTGCATGTTGAGTCGTCACATGAGCCATTTTCTGTAACTTGGAGTACACAATAAAGCATCCATACTCACACATGGTACAGCTACTTAATATGCTACTCAGCATTCACTGAAACGCAAAGGATCTTACACCTATGACTACGCTCGTGAGAAGGAGGGCGAGTTTGAACTACCGAAGCAGTCACTACCAGAGGAAGGTCAGTATGAAATGGACGGACTGAGCAGCGACGAGCCGTTCTGGGAGCCAGCTGGTGTTGAGGATGAGCTCAAGAGTCAGCTCCAGGACCTAAGTCTGTCACAGGACACCCTCTCGTGAGTGTGGCCTCTCCTACTTGCCCCCATACTAATTCCTAGAAATGGCAGCTAATTACTAAGTTTCCAACCACTGTGTGGTTCTTATAGTTAGTGTGTAGCACTGGCTATATATACTTACTGTGCCATGGAAAATGTCAACAAAATGTAAAGTTCAACACTGTGTAATCTTCTGTTTCAGATTGTCTGATGAGCTGGGTAGTGGTGAGTTTGGTGTGGTGAGGAGGGGAGTGTGGAGTGTGGGGGGAGAGGAGAGGGAGGTGGCTGTCAAGTCACTGGCAGATGGCTCCACAGAGGAGAAACGTATTCAGTTCCTGCAGGAGGCAGCCATCATGGGCCAGTTCAAACATCCCAATGTCATCTCTCTCCATGGGATTCTTCTGGACTGCTCCCCAGTTAGTCAATCTCATTGAAAGGGTGTATAGGCTGTTTATTGTTTTCATTCCAGATGATGATAGTATTGGAGATGATGCACATTGGTGATCTTCGGGAGTACTTACACTCACTAAAGCCTTCGTAAGTACACTATGATTCCCAAGCATTCTTTCACTTTTCACTGTCTGGTGTTATCACAGGGACACATCAGAGTCACTGCCAGCTCACACACCTGCACTGCTCATGAGTTTCTGTCGCCACATAGCCTTAGGGATGGCCTACCTCTCAGGGAAAGGTTTCATCCACAGAGACCTGGCTGCCAGAAATATCCTCGTGTCTAAAGATGAAGTCTGCAAAAGTAAAT